AAAAAGGGCAGGACTCATCACGGTTACTGTCAGTAGTATTAAAGAACTGTAAAAACTACCATCTCTGAAAGATGCTTCTTCTGCAGATCAAGAGAAGCTTTTTACCCAGAAGTTGCGTCAGTGTTGCGTCCTCTCTGACTTTGTTTTTGACCCACTGAGTGACCCCAGGTGGAAGGCAGTGAAGCAGGTGTCTTTAAGTGAGATGGTGGCATGCATCACCTGTAATCGGAACGTAATCGGGGAGCCTGTTTATCCAGAAATGGTCCACATGTTTGCAGGTAACATATTTCGAACACTGTCACCTTCCTCCAACCCTAGAGGAGCAGAATTTTATCCCGAGGAAGAAGACCAACCAACGTTGGAAGCAGCCTGGCCTCATCTGCAGCTTGTTTATGAATTTTTCTTAAGATTTTTAACCTTCAAATTTCCAGCCTAACATAGCAAAGAAATAATATCGATCAGAAGTTTGAGTTGCAGCTTTTAGAGCTCTTTGACAGGATCCTTTAGAGAGGTTTTCTTAAAACCACCCCTCACAGAATCTATGGGAAGTCCTAGGCCCGAGAGCTCACATCAGGAAACAGATAACTAATATATTTTGTGGGTTTATTTATGAACCAGCATCACAATGGTGTAGCAGAATTACTGGAAATACTGGGAAATATAATTAATGGGTTTGCCTTGCCACTAAAAGAAGAGCACAAGATTTTCTTACTGAAGTTGTTACTGCTTTTTCGCAAGGTGAAATCACCAAGTTCCTGGAGAAGGACAGCACCCTCAACGAGCCAGTGGTCGTGGAACTTCGCAAGTACAGTCCAAAGGAACTACTGTTCCTAAATGAAGTAGAAGAAATTTTAGATGTATCCAAGCCATCTGAATTTGTGGAGGTCCTGGAACCGCTTTTCTAGCAGCTAGCCAGCTGTGTTTGCACCCCACACTCCCCGGTGGCAGAACAAGCGCTGTATTACTGGAACAGTGACCACAATAGGAGCTTAATCCGCAACAACGCAGCAAAAAATCCTGCCCATCATCTTTGCATCCCTGTTCCGCAACTCTAAGACCCATTGGAACAAGACAACACATGGCTTCGTATACAACACCCTGAAACTCTTCATGGAAGTGAACCAAAAACTGATGACTGCACTCAACGGTTTAAAGACTGAAAGAGAAGCTAAAAATTCAAGAGTGAGAAGAAGTATGGATTAAAGAAGAAAATGTAGCGAAAGCAAATCCCTAGGCACAGAAAGATCCAAAGAAGGACTGTGCTGCCTCAGGACCCCCACACTGAGAAAGCCTTGGAAGCTCGCTCACTGCACCGCGCTGGTCTGCAGGGTAGGCAGGCGCTAGCCTCCGAGGGGGCCCACCCGCTGCCCTGGCTCTGTAGAAGTCCACACTTCATTAAAGTGGCATCCATTAAGTTAATGTCTTGATGCCATAAAACGTGGCTTCTTTTAGGATCTTTTTTATTCATGGTCTCGGATATCCGTGAAAATCAGACATTGCTCCTCGTGCGTCTGCGGTGTCTGCCGCTGGGGTTCCTGAAAGTCCACTGATGACAACACTTGTTTCCTTGTGTCTTGGAGGAAACTCACCTGGGGGAGGGGATTCCTGTGTTGAAAGCTAGAGCGATCGCGAAAGGAGAGCATTGCGCCGTGGAGGTGGGCCAGTCGGTCCACTCAGTGAGGACAGCACTTCCTGACAAACTTGACAAGTAGCTACCATTGTACCATTATGAAACCTGTGATTTAAAAATGTCTAGATGCCTTCTTCTTTTGAAGGAGAAAGGGTGCTTTTTAATTGTATAAAGCAGCGTCTTCTGTATCTTGATATACCATTGTTTGAACTTCTGTCTTTAGCGGTCGGTTCCCAGATATCCCTGACTGATGTCCGGTGTGTTGATGAGAGGTTTCTGGGAAGTCTGTCCTTCTGCCCTCGGAAAAGCAAGCTGTCAGAATCGGGGTGACTGTAATGCTCCACCTGTAAGAATGTCTTTCACCTTTTGGTCTAGGTTTTATTTCTGCTCTTTATTGAAGACAGGCATTCACCAATAAGGGAAAAGGAAAAACAGCTTTTAGAGAAACTAAATTTCTTTGACAAGAGTATTACTATTACTTAATATTCTGGCCTATTAAAGTTTCCTCGTTAGTACTCAGATTCTCTGTGCTGCTTTTTTGACTTCTATATTATTATAGAGAGAACTGTTTACTCTGTACCAAGCTGATCTCAAAAGTACTGTATTGAAAATAAACTGGTGACTGGTTTTCTTCATAAAGTTCTGCATTGTGGCATCTTTGCTCTTTCCAAATACATCTTCTGTACACCAGAAATGTCACAGTTCCCAGTGTCTTTTTAGCATGGGTTTAGTATGGCTTCCTTTTAATATTGTACATTCATTATATTTTTGTTTTATGACAATAAGTAATAAAAATGGAAACTTCATGTTTTGTACAAAATGTCCTTTGTACAGAAAAAAGAAGTTCATAGAAACAGCAAAAAAAAAAAAAACCAACAAAATTTATAGTTTGTATAACCGTAAAGTATTTAATATACTGTGTATCAGTGAATCTATCCATACTTTATATGTTTCTTCAAAAATTGTTACACATTTCAGAATTATTGGTGACTTGGAGATTGAATAAGAAATTCTTACCAAAGTGATTTTAATGAAATTTTATACAACAGAGGATCAAACCTTTCTGAGTTACATATCTGTCCCTTTCTAATTTTTTATTTTGAGCTAGAATTTTAATAATAGCTAAGTTGCCCAGGCTCAGCTCATACTTGTGATTTTCCTGTCTCAGCCTTCCAAAATGCTGAGATTGCAAGCATATACCACCACACCCAACTCAAAGTAAACTTTTAAAAATGAATTTAATGGGAGAAAAAAAATTTTGCCAGCTACTAAGCTGACACAGAATGATTATCCAGAAAATGTAAAGAATTTAAAAAATGACACCAAGTCAATAAATAATCAAATAAATCAATAAATGGATAACTGAGCTGAGCTGACGATTTTTCAAAAGAGGAAATACAGATGGCCAATAAATACATGAAAAAATGCTCAACTTCTTTAACCTTCAGGGAAATGCAAATCAAACCTGGATTGAGCTTCCATCTCACCCCTATCAGAATAACTTTTACCTAGAAAACAAAAAAAAAGATATCAGATTCCGGCAAACCCATGGGGAAAACAGAACCATTTTGCACTCTTGGTAGCAACAGAATTAGTATACCCACTGTGAAAAAGGGTATAAGGTTCCTCAAAAGCCTAAAAATAGAATTAAACATGACCCAATTCTATCCCTCTTTGATATTTACCTAGAAGAGTACAAGTCATCGTACTAGAGCAATAGCTGCATATCCAACTTACAAAAGCTAAGAAATGGAAATAGAATCAGCCTAGGTGTCCATCAGTGAATGAACGGATAAAGAATGATTATTACTGAGCCAAAAAGAAGAAAATCAGATAATTTGCAGGGTGGTAGATGCAAATGGAGATTATCACACTAAGTGAAATAAGTTATATCCAGACAAGTATCCTATTTCATCTTATATGTGGAATGGAGGAGATGAATACAACATAAAGGAGAAGGGGAACTATTAAGAATGAGGCAGAACCAGGGAAACAAGGAGACAGAATAAGGAAGGCTAACAGAGTGGACATGATCAAAGTCTGTTAAATCCATTTATGAAAATGTCGTTTTGGTCTGTGGCCATACCACTCTGAACATGCCCGATCGCGTCTGATCTTGGAAAACGTCATTGTGAAACCTATTATTTTGAACAATTAATACGCACTAACAATTATAATTTCTAAAAAGAATAAAAACTAAGTCAGTTTGTGAGAGTGGAAGAAAACCCCTATGTTTTCATCATCTTTTGGAGCTTTGCCCTGGAGCAGAAAGTTCAATACTCTGTCATGACTATAACTGAAGTCTTGAAGAAATTCTGAATAATGTCTCTGAGCTACAGGATAAACAACCTCAGGCTGTTTGGTTTTAGCAGAACTAATAGATGAATCATATCACAGGGGGCTTTAAATGCTAATTATTAGCACTGTCTTCAGGTTACTTTATTTGATTCAGCAAAATTAACTTATTCTTTCCTACTGAATATCAAGAACTGATCTCACTCACTATGAGTCCCTCCACCCCAGGTGTCATGAGGCCTCTTTCTCTCAGTATGAGAAGATTCTCCTTTTCCTACTTCCCTATTACAAGCCCATCTTCTCTTACTGAATTCAAGACAGGTCTGCAGATGATGTATTTCCTTATTCAACTATAAGAAGCACAGCTGCTTTTCTGATTAGTTCAGAAACTGAACTGTGATGGGTTCCAAGTTTCCAATTAGTGACATTCTCTTTCTGTCTTTCCTCCTTTGACTGCATGCTATTCCTATAGCACTGGTGGACTGTCTTCCTAGGCAGACTTAGAGATGACTTCTCTGGTGGCCTGAGCTATCACCCAGACCCACGTGACCCTCCGTTGCATTGCAGGGCCTTCACTTTTCTCACAGCAAGTGCCACTGCTAAGTGTGACCTGTTCTCCAGCTCTGTACAGTGTTTCCCATAACCCTGCCCCAATCACAAAAGTCCACCTCCCTAGGTTGAGTGTTTTCACATCCTCCTTTATTTTCTCCTGCCGTCAGGGACCTTCTGGATTAAGTTCCACAATCAGAGAATCTGTATTATAAGGGGACTGTGAGAAGGGATTAAGGAAACTTTGCCTGTAGAAGCAGTGCTGGATTCTCTCACTTGTAGTGTGAGTTCCAAGAGATAACTCATTGCCAAGGATGTTAACACCAGTTGTAAAACCATTACCAGTTCAAGTTTTCTTAATACTTGTCAAATTGTATCTTATATTTTAATGTATGTGAATATATGTGTGTATAATATATTTCACATGGCTATCGTACCAGGTCTAGGAAGAGCATGATTTTGAAAAGATCTATTCAGAAGACAGACCACTCTCGGGCAAGTGAAATCAAAGCCATAGAGAGCCAGAGGGAAAAAATCATAAAACTCACATCCTGGAAAAGGGCCAAGAGTCAGAAAGGGAAAAGAGCACAGTAAAAAGTAGGCAGTGATTAAAGCACAATGCAAGCAACCTGGGAATGTGGGAGCTGAACCAGCCAGGGAGTAGGAGCATCTGGCCCACTTCCCACTCAGGAAATGAAGGATATGCATGAGCTATTGGACGGCAAGAACTCAGGCTGAGATGTGCACCATTAGAGTCCGCTCCATATTACAGTGTTTTCTTTCTCTGTGTTTCCTTGCCCACTACTCCAAGCAAATGCACAGCCCATTCCTCAAAGTCATATGTTCAGGGCTAGTTTTACACAGGAACACAGTTCCACTGGTTCCACTTGCCAGGCATTCTGACATTATGCATCTTGCTGTTCAGTCTTTGTATGGTGTGGTTGGCCCTATCCACGTGGGCGTGCAGGGGGAAGCCAAGTCTTTTCAGAGCCTGGACCTGACAATAGATAACATGATAAATGAGACCCTGGCCCCAGTACTCAGGCACGGTGCCCGCCATTCGCATCTCTCCGGTGTGGTCCATCAGGCTCCAGGACACCGGTGTCCCCTTAGGCCCCAGCAGACAGAAGCTGGGGAAAGTGCGGATACAGCGCTCGATGAATCTCTGGCTTCTCTCAGTGCCACCAAAGTGCCAGAACTGGTTCACCAGAGCAGCGTGGGTAACATCCAGGGATGAGAGTTTGAACATCTCTTGGTTGCTGTTGGGAAAAGGGGAAGATGAATCACACATATTGTAAAGTATTGTAATTATTTCTACCTAAAATTTTCTGAGTGCCAAACTAGATTTTATATAAGGATATGTGCTCTGAAATCAGGTGGCTTGGAATTATATCAACATTGTTTATGTGACTGGGATGATTAGTTAATCTTTCACTCTGTATCCTCATGTTGGACTAGAGTTGATTAGCATGACTCTTTAGAGAGTCCCTAAGGGACTTCAGTGAGTCTGATGTTGTAAGTTCCTGGAGCACTTCCAGGAACGAGAACATATAGAGGGCTATGGATTAAGCATTAGTTTTGTTGTTGTTTTTGTTTTTTGTTTTTTGTTTTTTTTGTACCAGGGATCACATTCAGAACCTTGCAGATGCAAGGCAGGTGGTGAAACCACTAAGCTAAATCCCTGGCCCAAGCATTAGCTTTTAATTCTGTGAAGTATTAGGCTAAAAATCAACCTTGGAAATATATAATTTCTTCATGTTCTTTTTATTGGAACATTTTGTTCAATGAAGTGAATTCATTAAAGACATTAATTAAGCACCAAGTGTGCCAGGCATTGCTTTAGTGTGAAGGATCTATTAGTGAATGTGAGGGAGAGGTTTGTTGGATTCACCAATTTTTCAATAGTGTAAGTTAAATTAATTAGCTGATTTCAAAGAATCATAGAGAATAAAATAGTGCCACATGTGGAGAATAATTGGGAAGAGATTTAATTTTTCTTTAATTTTATTGGTACTATTTAAATATATATAACCATCACATTCATCAAAGGGAACTTGTACCTATACATGGTATATCTTTATTCCTCTTTTTGGGAAGAGATTTAAATGCATGGTTTAGGCAGGATTCTGGTGAGAGGACATTTCAAGAATGCTAATTAAACAAAAATGGTGTCTTGGATATAAAGATTAAGTATGATGTCTACAATATATTTTAAAGGAAACAGATCCAATTTCCAGGCCTAAGTTGTGATCATGAAGTAGGAAGAGTGTTAAAAATAACACAGGGGTAAGGGTAAAAAATGAGAATCAAGACTTGTCATGTAGAAGTACAAGATCCCAACAATGAATGTAACTGTACTGTATCCCTAAAATGTACCAATAAACTCAATTAAAGCTGAAAAAAAAAAATAACGTCAGGCCAGGGCCAGGTGTTTAGCTCAGTGGCACTGTGCCTGCCTTGCAAGTGCAGGGTCCTGAGTTTGATCCCCTGTACAAAACAACAACAACAACAAAAAGAAAATAACATCAGGCCATTGTTGTAGACTAAGATTTTAGTTGGCCCCAAGAAGCCAGACTAAAAACCAAAATGAAATTACTCATACTAAACCAGGTCAGCAAGCTGAAAACAAAAAGTGTTGTCTGACAGAGAGGAAGAGAGAGAGAGAGGTATTCAAAGCATCAGTTTTTAAAAGGTTATAATAATAAACATTCTGCTTCAGTATTTAAGAAACAGTAATCTTCTGTTAACAAAGTTTTTTATTGTTCCATTTTTCTGTGTTCAATTTAGAAGAAAAAACTTGGAAATGATAAAATTTTTGTTTATTTGTTTCTGCTTTCAATAGATTTATGTAAACCTAACTTCTTTAGTCTAGACTTTAGGAAAACTTAACACTAGTAGAATAAGATGTTGTTTAATTCTAGAATCACAAAAAGAAAAAAATTAATACCTTTATTTTTTGTAATTTTTTTTCAAGAAGTGGAAGGTCAGGTATCTTGGAGAGAATAAGAGAAGAGATGTTCTAAAACAGTTGCATGCTGAGTGTTAGATGGCTAAGTAGGAGTTTAGAAACATTTCAAGGTGAGGTAGGAAGTACTGGAATTTTTTAAGCAGGAGAGAGATATGGTCTACTTTTTATTTTAAAAATAGTTAGGTTACTTTTCAGGAAATAGATTAGAAGGAGGCTAGAACAAGAGCAAGTAAAGAAGTCAAAATGTGTAATAGTGAGCCATCAAAAAGATACGTGTACCATCTCAACATGAAATCTTCCTGATTATCTTCTGGGTCATAAACCCAATGGCAGATGTCCTTATGAGAGTGAAAAGCACATATACACACAGAGGAGAAGGCCATATACAAATAGGTTAGAGACTAGAGTGATAGAACCATAACCCAAAGAACATTTATAGAGGTATCAGAAGCTGAAAGAAACAAAGGATTCTTTGATATTAATCGATGAGTTTGGGCATTAAGGCTTCAGAGGGAACATGGCTCTGTCCACACTTTGATTTTACACTTCTAGAATTCAAAACTATGAGAAAGTTTTCTGTTAAGGCACAAGCTTGTAGTAAAAATTTTTGTGGCAGCCCTTAATTAATTTAGGAAGCAAGTTCAGCAGGGACAGTTGTGGATAGTGCAGCATGGCTTCTATCAAACTTACATGGATGGAGGTTCACCACTGTTGGGTGGTAAGTTCTTTGTATCCATTAGGAAAGGAGACATTTTTTTTGCTGTGTCAAATTCCGTGTAGAGAATGCACTGTGTATGCTTGACCTTGCCCATGTTAATGCCTACAAGATTTTCTACTACTTTATCCAGGCTGGGTTGTGAACCTAGATGAAGAAAATGAAGACTCATATGAGATATCATTGTTCATTTAACCTTCTGGAAAAGCTGTCTGATAGAGTTGGAAGGTATATTACATAAAATAGAAGGTATATGTACATGCATTGTGCTCAGTCATGATATTGACTTTATGTGATAATAGTCACATCACTCCCACACTTTTTGCATTTTAGATTTGGATACTGCCCTAGTCTGAATATTCCATAGCACAGTTATAACTATTAAGGCAGATGGGGTACAGATATAGTACCTAATACTTGGAAATTTTCTGAATTTCTATGCACTAAGTATATCTGTCTTTATATAGTGACCCTAGATTGTTTCTACCTCACAGATCTGATTTTCTCTTCTGCACTGACTCTGGAATTAGTCAGGTGACTTGCTTTGATCAGTGCAACAAAAGAATTGTGATTCTATAAGATGCTTTAGCCAAAAGGCCGAGAAGTGATATATAAGATGCTTTTAAAATGTACACTGAGGCTTTCCTTCTTTTTCTGTTCCTGGAGATTCTGGGACTTTATTTATTTATTTTTGGTTTTTTGAGACAGGGCCTCACTATGTACTTGAGAATGCTCTGGAACTCACTGTGCAGCCCAGGCTGGTGGCGAACTTGCAGTGATCCTCCTGCCTCAGCCTCCAGAGTGCTGGGATTACAGGCATGCACCGCCATGCCCGGCAGGACCTTTATATGTTGCCCAGTCCACTTCCATCATTTCAGTCAATAGCTAACCACACAGAACTAATATCAACAGCCAGATTTGGAGGTGTGGCTGACTTAGTCTTACCAGCTCACACAAAATCAATCTTTCAGCTCTCTTTGTCCACATAGCTGAATCTAGGCAAGACCAGCAGAAGAACCACCTAGCTGAGCCTAGTCCAAAGTGCTGAACCACACAACTGTGAGGTAATAAGTTGATTGTAGCCTTAAATTAACACATTCAGAAGGTTTAAAGATGTACCTGATAAAGCAAAGATTTTGATATATATTTCTCGTTCAAAGTTCCATATAATCCTTAAAGACTCAGTGTTTTTGGTGCTATTTTAAGTATTTTTACACACTGAGGAACTGATCCACAGAGAAGTTGTTTTTTGCTATTGATCACAGAGTTAAGAAGAGACCAAAGAAAAGTTTTAATCTTGGGTACTCTCATACTAAAGAGCACATTCTTATTCACTGAAATACTCCTTTGTGAATTTGATAGTGTAATAAAAGAGATGGAGCAAGAAGGGAAGATTTATTCCTATAGCAATGTTATTTGATATATGCTGGGCACCTCAGAGAATGAGTCATGACCGCAGTTATGCAGTTATATTAATAAGAAGTTTGCTATGTAAACATTACACACTGCTGTCTCAAGTGTTTTCACTATGAGTGTGGCAGCTGCCAAGGCAGTGGGCAGGAGGCTAAGTGTGTAGATCTGGGAGGAAAGGTATGTGGAGTGTTGAGTCACTGTTCAGAGAAAAGTAACCCTACCGACACATACACAAAGGGATTGAGCAACAGTGACATACTCCAGTTCTCTTACTTTGAATCTGCAAGTGTTGCTTCCAGTTGATGACTTCTGGGGAGCCAAGGAATTCGTGACATTTTGTAGGATTCTTGAAGTAGATTAAGTAAGTGTTGGTGTAGTGATCAAGGTCATCTATCATTTCCTGTTTGAGTTAAGAAAAGAAATATCAATCAGAGTGTAGTTGAATGTAGCCATAATGGTACTCAGTATTATATCACTTTCCTGTACCAAAATTAGTACATTTTGTAGGTTTACTGCCTTTCTTTAGCTATTGCTTATATTGTATGGTCAAGTCAAGGGCTTCCTTTTTCAATTAAAATGAGTAACATTATAAACTAGTCCTAAGTCAGTTATTGTTTTGAAATTTCAAAGATCCATTTAAAATAATTTTCTACATATTGTTAAAATACAAATAAAGCCTAAAATAATAATTGAAAAGCAAAATCTTTATCCATAACAATAAGTCTGACTCTGAGTTACATGCATGTTATTAAAATCCATACATAAAACAGTATTAGAATGTCCATCTATAAATGGTGAAACCAATTAAAAAGATGATATTCTAGGTGTCTTTTTAAAAAAGACTTTCAATGAACAAAAATTTTGCCTAGAGAATATACAAATGCATATAACTAGGAAATGTATCAATCCCAAGATAGTATTATTTGAATGTGAAGAAATAGATAAGAGGAAAATATTAGTGTAATCAGCGTAGAATCCTAATAGAATTTATCTCCAGTACCAAAAATATATTGAACAAATACACATTTTCTACTCAGTAGTGACATTGTGGATCAATCTGTCAGTTTTCCTGGCCTGCCTTATATAATAATCTTGTCTTTAACAAGCCCATTTTTTAAAATTTCCACTGTGAAACAACTCAGATCCTCTTTCTGTAATATTACCACATTTTAATTTTGCACTATTGTGTTGACTTTAAGGTGGACTGTTGCTTATGACATAGACTCTCAGTGGGCAGACAGTATTACAATAAGAGATTATAGTCTTGTGTGAATAAATCAGAATGGCTTTAAGGCCACAGTTTTTTAAAGGTAGGAAGTAGTATTTCTCTCCCTTACTGTAATAGTTAAAAGTAGGTTATGGTTACAATATAGAGCTCTAATAAAGAAGTGATGCTTAGTATTTATTTTATTAGTACATGTATATAACACATCTTAATTACGTTGTGGTCCCTTTCTCTCCCCTTCCTTCTCCCACTTCCCTCCACCTCTTGTTGTTCTTCCCTTTTGCAAAAGTTCTATTTCCCTCTTTCCTATTATCTATCTTTTCTTTTTATTTTTAATTTACTTATATTTTTTATCACATAACAAACCATGCAGCATTTAAGTTTATGTGTCTAATTTATTTCCCATAACATTAACGTTCTCAAGAGATGACCATTCTCCTACAAACGACTCTTTTATTCTGCTCTATGGCAGAAAACTCCATTGTGTATGACTACCACATTGTCTCTTCATGTTTCAGAAAAAGATCAGACTCTTCTCTATGTCATCAACATGATCTTGAATGACACAGTCTCCTATTGGTTGACTCTAATTCCCATGAACCAAGCAAGACATGACAAAGCGTGTTTGGTCTTTACCATTAGCATGTGCTGGTGTGGGACCATCTTGTGAACAAAATAAAAGTGAATGACTATGAAAGTGGCTGACATAATGTAAGTCAGCTTTCCCTCTGAACTACTGCTGCATCTTTTCTGTACTTCTGTTTGTACTTTTTACATTTTGCCATATTTCTTTTTTGTGAACATCTGCACATTTTCCTTTATTTTCTGATGTTTCTTTGTACCAGGGATTGAACTCAGGTCCTTGCACTTGCAAGGCAGGCGTGGTACCATTGAGCTAAATCCTCAACCCAGTCCTCTGATGTTCTTGAGAACAGGGACTTGCGGGTACCACTGTGACTCATTTCTGTTTCCCTGGGGTCTGCCATATTGCCAAAAACACTGTAGGCCCAGAGGCATATTCATTCATATCTGGTAACTTACTTGCTCCTGAGGGCGAATAACTACAGTATTAAAATCAGGCCATGAGTCTACTAAGGCTTTCAGCTTGAATGGGTTTTCCTGGTTCATGTGAAAGACAGTCCCATAAACCTGCAATAGAACAACAGAGTGAGAGGGTAAACAGATTGATATGATAAAGGATATGATAAAGGACCTTGCAATTAACAGGAGAAAGAAAGTGTTTGCTATTAAATCATGGAATTTTAATGATTTGAAGTTACCTGATAAACATCTTCATCAAATGGTTTGTAAGTTCTGCTCATTTGCTTCGGCAAAATATCTTTAAAATGTTCAGATAGTATAATATTAAGACCAATAGTTTTTTAATAAAAGTTATTAACATTCCCACCAAGAATGACAGATTTTCATTTATTCATGTACACATGGCACATTTAAAAACAAATGAAAATTTTCATATATATATATATATATTGAATTCATTACAAATGTTTTTGTAATTACTGAAGCATTTTTTAAATGGCTGCTTTAAAATTCCTGTCAGATGTATAAAAGGAGGGGTAAGATGGAACATTAAACAACCCAGCATCGTTTTATTCCTCCATGGGTCACAATCATAGTCACAGTTGTGCAGAGCCTGGTAGAACTGAGTGGATATGGGGAAGCACTGGAAATTAACAGAGAAAATGAAACCGGGTGTGATAAAGAAACACAAATGAACACGGATTTTCCCAGTACCTGGCACCAGCCTCCTTGAAAGGGGCCTCTCCCTTCTGGTGGAGCGATGGTGAAAGTGAGTCCCAATGTAGCACAGAATCTCTATCTCTAGGGAAACCTGCTTACATAGGTAACTTGGAAGCTCTTTACAAGCTAGCTTTAAAGAAGAAACTGAGAATTTTTCTGCAAACTCTCAGGGTGCTATATTTTGGAGCCCTCTCCAGAAGGGTCCTATTTTTCTGAGGCTATATATAACTTCAGTGGTCAGAAATCACAGTGTCATCATATATCATGTTCCCTGTGGGTGCTGAGCAGGACACACACATGTCAAGGTTTGGAAGTCTCTAATACAACCCTGCAGACAGTTTTATGCTGTTCAGAGTGTGGGCTGTGATGGAGAGTGGAGTGGCAACCACTGCCATCCAGACCCAGCAGTTCAGTGAACCCACACTCTTTGACTAAGAGTGCCACCTGTCCCATGTGGTTTCACACATGGCAGTTGTGTGACAGTACCAGGATTGTGTATAGAAGAATATTTTGTAACCCTCCTTTAGTAAAGAACATGGTGGTTCAATTGCTCCCCTCACTCTCAGAAGTATATGGGGACTAGTGTACAAATTAGGCTCTTCTGTACCCTGAGCACACAAAATAAGAACTTCCATAGTAAATACCACAATGCTAGCAGTTCATATTCAGCCCAAAATTTGTTGGCAAGAAAGTCTCACATTGGGACTGACATGGGCCATGTGACCATGTGTGCAGATCATAAACATCCATAGTGACAATACTACAGAATAAAAATAACAATGCAAAATAGGAAAGAATCGTTATCAGTATGGTTAAGTCATCAGATTCTAAAATGAAAACAAAGGAACAATGTTCAAAACAAAAAAGTCAACACAATGACAGAAACAGTAGCACTTCCATAAAATCCAATATACATAAACAGAAGTAAGGACAAAAAAAAATTGTGTGACCATATTTAGGGATGAGAAGAAGCCTTTGACTAAATCCAACATCTATTCATGATAAAACCCTGTAGAAAATAGGTATAGAAGGACATTAGTTAAATCTGATAAAAGCCACCTTGATAAATCTATAGCCAACAACATATTAAATAGGGAATAGTAGAAAGCTTCCCTAAAAATCAAGAACAAAACAAGGATCCACTATTACCACTCCTGTTCAATGTAGCATACAAAACATTAGAGCAGACGAGAGAAACAAACAAAATAGATGTACATAGGAAAGGAAAAAGTCAAAGTATCACTATTTGCAGATGACATCCTCTACATAGACAAAATTCCGTAATGTAGCAGGACGAAATAACACAAAAGTGAATAACATTCCTGCACATAAATAATGAACTCACCAAGAAAAAAATTAGGAAAATAATACCATTCACAATCACTACCTGAAGAATTCACGACCTCCAAGCCAGCACTCCAGGATGTTCTTAAGAGATAAGAAAACTACAACTTTGACCCTCAACAGAGTGAATCCACCAAGCAAGGCAAGCGATTGAATAGAGGAATAACAAAGAGAACCAGCAAGAGGAAAGTAACATGGAAAAGATAAGTTAATACTTATCAGTCAATCATCAGTGTAAATGGTCTCAATTCACTAGCCCAAAGAAACAAGACTAACAGAATCAAACATGAAACAATAACCAACAATGTGCTGCATGCAAAAAACAAATCGAACTAAAAAAGAGATATCATAACTGAAAGTCAAAGGATAGAAAACAATACTACCTGTGACAGAAACCCAGGAAAAAGTAGGGTTAGCTATTCTGTTTATAGACAAAGTAGATTTCAAGCCCAGACTGATTAAGAGAGACAAGATCTACATACTTCTTAAGGAAATAATCCAAGAGGAAGAGATAACAATCATAAATATATATATATATGCATCAAATACCAGCACACCCGACTATATACAACAAATATTAATGGATATGAAAAATCAAATAAGTACTAATACAATTGTAATGGGGGACCTTAATACACCACTGTCACAAACAGATCAACTAGACAAAAAAATCAACAAAGAAATATCAGAACTAAACCAACCTTTTGAACAAATGGGCTTAGTGGACAACTGCAGAGTGTTTACAACATCAAAATACACATTCTTGTCAGCTGCTCACAGGATATTCTCCAAAAAAACTGTACACTAGCTCATAAAACATGCTTGAGTAAATGCAAAAGAATTCAAATCATCCTATGCATATTATCAGACCATAGTGCAGTGAAATTAGAAATCAACAGCAAAAGAACATACAGAAGCTGCTTAACCATATGGAAATTAACACCCTCCTAAACAACTAGTGGATCACAGATAAAACTAATAATAAACTAGAGAGTTTCTACAGTTAAAGGATAGTGCCAGTACAACATATGGGTACTTATGGAATGGATGAAAGCAGTCCTATGGGGGAAATTTACAGCAGTGAATTCTCATATCAGAAAAACAGAGTGAGCTCAAATGAACAACCTAATGTTGACCCTCAAACTTCCAGGAAAAGAACAGCAAGTCAAGCCTAAAGCTTGTGTGTGGTGAGGGGGGAAATGATAAAGATCAGAGCAGACATTAATGCAATTGAGACTAAAAAAACAATGGAAGGAATCAATGAATTCAAAAGTTGGTTCTTTGAAAGATTAAAATTGACAAACCCTTAACCAACCTTAAAAAAAAGGGAAAGACTCAAATCCATGCAATTAGGAATACAAGGGTGAAATCAAAAAAGATCCTGCCAGAATCCAGAAGATCATCAATATCTATATTGAGGACTTATATTCTTTTTCCCCCCATTGGAGGACCTATATTCTAATAAGATGGAAAACACAGAAGAAATAGTCTTCTAGATACATATGAGTTACCAAAGCTGAATCAAGGAGATAGAAAAATTATAAATAACCCTATATCAGCCCAGAAGGCTTCAAAGAAATTGAAGATGTAATTAAAAACCTACCAACAAAGAAAAGCCTAGGTCTTGATAGTTTCACTCCTGAATTCTACATGAAATTTACAGAAGATCTATTACCACTACTCCTCAAACTCTAATGAAATTGAAAGGGTAGCCATACTCCCAGATGTATTCCTGGAAGCAGAATTACCCTGATACAAAAATCAGAGAAGGATCCAACCAAAAAAGAAAGCTACAGGTCAGTATCCCTAATGAACATAGATGCAGAAATCCTCAATAAGATACTGGCAAATAGAATGCAGCAAATCATCAAGATTATATACCATGACCAAGTAGGATTCATCCCAAAGATGCAGGCATAGTTCAACATGTGCAAATCAGTAAGTGCAATACATCATACTGTAAGAGCCAAGGACAGAAACCACATGATCATCCCAAGAGAGGCAGAAAGAGCATTTGACAAAGTTTAACATCCATTTATGATAAAGCCCTTCAGAAATTGGAATAGATGGTCTTTATCTCAATCTGATAAAAGCCTTCTATAACAAACCAACAGTCAATATCATACTAAATGATCAAAAACTGAAAGCTCTAAAATCAGGAACAAGACAAGGTTGTCCACTGTCACCACTGTTATTCAATATAGTTCCTGAAACATTAGCCAGAGCAATTAGACAAGAGAAAGAAATAAAAGGAATAAGGACAGGAAAGGAAGAAGTTAAGCTGTTGTTATTTGCAGGTAACATGATACTCTACAAAAAAAGTTCAGATACCCGAAATGAAAGGCCCAATACAAAAATGGGCATCTGAAATGAATAGACAGATGAAGAAGTAGAAGTGGCAAATAAGTATATGAAAAAAACTTTCAACATGATTGGTCATTCAAGAGATGCATAATCTCCAAAATCTCCACCAAAAGACCTCTAGATTTAATAACCAAATTCATCAATGTAGCTAGATACAAAGTTAATACTCAAAAATCATTAACATTCATGGTGAAAAAAATAACCAATGTCATTGTATACCTTAAATGTACCAGTAAAATTAAAGAAATTAAAATTAAAAATAAACTCCCTGAGAGAGAAATTAGGGAAAACACATCTTTCATAATAGCATCCAAAAAAATGAAATACTTAGGAATTAATCTAATGAAGGAAGTAAAAAACCTTTACATTACAGTACTCTGAAATGACAGTACTCTGAAAATAAGAGATCAAAGAGGATATCAGAAAATGGGAAAATATTCCTCATCCTTGGGTAGGAAGGAAGAGCCAATATACTGAAAGTGGCCATACTTCCAAAATTGTCACACAGATTTAATGTAATCCTGATAAAAATACCAATAGCATACCTCACAGAATTAGAGAAAACAGTCTCAAAATTCATGTGGAGCTACAAGAGACCTAAAATAGCAAAAGCAATTCTGGACAACAAATGAAAGCCAGGGTTCATTATAATCCCTGATTTGAAAGTATACTGCAAAGCTACTGTGATAAAAAACAGCGTGGTACTGTGGGAGGGGGGGGAAAGAGCTTTAAGGATCAGTGGAACCAAACAGAAGATGCAGAAACAACTTCAAACACAGTCAGACACCTTATCTTTGACAGAGGGGTCCAACACATTCCCTGGAAGAAAGATAGCCTCCTTAATAAATGGTGCTGGGAAAACTGGCTTCCACATGCCAGAGATTAAACCTAGACCCATATCTCTCACTATGCACTACACTGAACCAAAATGGGTTAAAAATCTAAATATTAAAGTGGAAACACTACCCTGGTGTGAATAATCTGCAATAATACATAAGATCCTAATGAGATTACTGACATTTAGAAATGGGAAGAAAGGAGCTAAAGGTGTAGGGAAGGTGGGATGGGTAGGGGAAGGGTAATAAGGGAAAAGAAAAAAATGTGAGATAATGAAAAGATGAAAATAAAGTGATTGTAGATGGGGAGGGAAGGAGCGGGTGAAGGGAGGGCAAGGGTAAGGGGAAAAATGAGAATAAAGACCTGTCATGTAGAGGTGCAAGATCCCAACAATGAATGTAACTGTACTGTATTCCTAAAATGTACCAATAAACTCAATTAAAACTGAAAAAAAAAATAAAGTGGAAACACTAAATCTACTGGTAGAAGAGGTAGAACTCTTGAAGACGTGAGTGTAGGCAAAGACTTTATGAACAAAACCCCAGTTGCCCGGGAAATATTGCAAAGAATCAACTATTGGGATCTCATGCTATTGAAATGCTTTTGTACAGCAGAAGAAATCACTAGCAGACTGAAGAGACAACCCACAGAGTGGGAAAAAGTTTTTGCTAGCTGTTCCTCTGACAAAGGACTAGTAGCTAGAATATATAAAGAGCATGAAAAAAATGAGATCCCTCAAATGAAAGACCCAGTACAAAAATGAGCATCTGAAATGAATAGCTCTTAGATGACGTAGAAATGGCAAATAAGTATATGAAAAAATGTTCAACATCACTGGTCATTCAAGAGATGCAATTTAAAACAACACTGAGTGCTTGCTTTGGCAGCATACATACTAAAACAACAATGAAATTTCATCTCACCCCAGAGAGAATGGCTGCCATCCAGTAATGAACCAATAACACATAGTATTCTGCCTCTGTCAAAAGAAGATGCAAAATTTGATCTCCTTAAAATCTAATCTCACCTTTAAGGACTCAGGGAGGTGCTTCCTTAAGTATTTCTCCAGCTTCCGCAGCATCTGTGGGCCCTGCAGTTGGAGCATCTTGGTAGGTACCTCAGCTAAAGAGTGAAATGACAACAAAGGTCAGGAACCAGAAAACACTTTGCATAGTCTGGTCTTCCATAAAAATACTGTAAACTCATGGTTTAAAGCATTAGAAGTTATATCTCACAGTTCTGGAGCCTCCTCATTCCTTAGTCTATATATGTGTTTTTGTCCCAGTATGATACGTGTGATTACTGGCTCTGCAGTACATTTTGAAGTCGGGGATTGTGATTCCTACAGCTCTATTCGTTCTTTTTTTATTTTTTTAGACAGGGTCTCACTGTATAGTTGAGACTGACTTGGAACTCACTGTGCAGCCCAGGCTGGTCTTAAACTCACAGCGATTCTCCTGCCTCAGCCTTCCAAGTACTGGGATTACAGGTGTGCGCCACCACACCCAGCCAGCTCTGTTCTCCCTGCTTGTGTTGCTCACTGGTTTGGTCTTGGCATCTCTTTCATGAAGATGGCTATTAATTCAAGCTCTGCCCTTGACTGGACTCCATAATTAGTTGTGCATCTTGCAGTGCACCTTTGATGGGGTTAAGCTTTATCCTGTTGAATGGCCTAGTGCTCAAGAATTTGCACTATTACCAGGTGTCCTTACTATAGGAGGAATAAGTGAAGCTCTTGGCTGGTCTGTATCCAGTATATTTCTGCTAAGACTAGGAGAGTCCTGCCTGGAAAGAAGTTAGGTTGTGTGTTTCAGTCAGATGAAGCATAGAGGAGACAACAAAACATGTGAAATAACAGAAAGCCTTTATTTCTAATAGATGCCAGAGTAGAGAAGGTAGCACTTATGCAGAGCCAATAGAAAGTAAGCAGTTGTCTGGAAAATGCATTAATAGCCAGATGGGGGTGGGAGGGAAAGGCAGGGGAGAGACTATGAATACTTATTGGCTGAGGATTTCTCTGAGGTCCAGAGTATGGCCCCAGTGCTTTCCTGTGTGGTTGTAAGGATGGGTTTAGAGCAAGCAGCATGAGTGCCAGGTGACAGAGCCTGAGAGGTGGCCACTGGCATATTTGTATAGTCCATGTGGGATCTAGGGATGAGTTTGGCCAATGCAGAAGGTAGCAGCACCTCACTGTCCCATAGGGAAGTGCTCACCAAGACTGGGTTGCATAAATCTGAGGTCTGAACTGACCATGTTGAAGATCTGAAAGTGGGAAAGAAATGGAACCTTTGCGGGGAGGGTGTTGAAGCCCTACTGAGGTGTGAAACAAGCTCACGTATATTCTATTGCCAAGCAACCGAAGTCTTAGGAATCCACTATATCACTCTAAATTATCTCAGCTATTCTTGATATTCTTCTACATGTTTGATTTCAAAATGATTCGGTCCAGTGGAGATTTTATTCACTTGCTTAAATGTATTATCTGGTGGTTCGTTGCCCTTCTTTAAGGTCATTATTTGAATTCTTTGTTAAATGGTTAATGGTTCTTTGTTTTGTTAGTCAGTGACTGGTGCAGTCATGTTTGTCTAGTCCTTTATGATACTTGCAGCCTCACACTGGAATCTTACATTTAAAAAACCAGTCTTTTTTCTCTCTTTTTCTGGTATTTGCAGGCTGGCTTCCTCAGATGGCTAACCTTCACCTGTCAGATCCCCAGGTGGACAGGTGCGCCTCTGAGCGTAGTGCAGCAGGCTCGAACTATCATTAGGTTCTTTCCTTGTCCGTGATTGGGTCTAGAGTCAGCAGTCCTGGCAGCAGAGGTACGGACAGGCAAAACTCCTGCCAGACCCCTGGATACATGGGCCTTCCTCCAGGACCGCTTGCAAGCGGTCAGAGCCAATTCCACAGAGGATGGGACTGCTTGTGAACGTGGAGCCAGGTCTCTGTTCAGGGCTCTGCTCCCAGGACGTGGACCTGCCCTCTGAGCATAGCTTTCCTTAGACCTGGGCACTACCAAGGTGCCTGTGACCTATGACCTTAAAGCTCCCCAAACGCACTTTTGTCCACAGGTGGTTGCCAGATTGGTGCTTTGGGGTCACAAGTGAGGAAGGCATCCTGTTTTGCCATCTTGTTGACATCGCTGAAGTTTTACATCAATAATTGGTTTTGAAATGTATCAAATGCATTTTGTTGAGATGATTATATATTTCTTATTTTTGTTGATTTGTTGAATGATATGCATTAACTTTTGACTGCCAAATGAGCTTTGTATTCCCACGAGGAGTCCCTGTTAGATCACTAGATACTAAGGTCTCTATATATTTTTGGATCACTGTTCTATTACTTTAAGTAATATACTATATATATCATTATGCTTTATATAATATTGTTTTATTACATATACATCTATTTTATAGGGGTGATTGGTCCATATTTTTCTTTCCTTTATCTTATTTGCGTACAATAATAATTATATAGCCAAAAAATATGAATTGAAAAAGTGTTTTCTTCTACTCTAGTTTCTTGAGGAAGAGGACTGTCTCTTACTTTCTCTTCTTCTTTGCTCAAAGTTTCTTTGCTTCTACAAATGTTGGTTGATTATACTACTGAAGTCATCTGTGATTGATAAATATTTTCTCTTATATACTGTTGTTATGTAATTCAGCTTTACCAATGGGTAAACATTAATATAGTATTTTTCTGGTGCATATATATTTAAGATATTTAACATGATTTTTTTGAAATACATACTAAAATCATTACTATAGTCAAGCCAATTAACCTATCATTACACATATTTTTGTGGTAAGGGCATTTTAATATCTGTCAGCAATTTAAGTATATAATATTACTGTTTTGATACTGTACATTTACAAAGTCTACAAAAGAAAACGTCAGATCCAGTTTAGCCATTACTAGAAATGTATCCAACAGTGAAACATCAAAGTGAGAAAATTGTTATAGAATATTTTAATTATTCAACATTAACAAATAGGAAAAAAAATGACAAAAATCTCTAGGTCTAGCACTATAGATTATATAAAAATGACCAAACAGTTTGTCACACTATAAGGAACTATTGACATAACTATGGTACACTCACACACACAGAACATTGTTAACATAAAAAGAGAAGGCAGACACTGTAGCATTTGCCTAGATTATGAAAGCCTTTGTCCATGCATATTCAATATGCAGCATGTAGGAGAATAGGTCAAGGTGTAGGAGGATAAGATTAGAAGGAAACAGCAACTCTTATGAACTTTTATTATCTTAGCATTATTGATAAAATATTTTTAAATGACTCTTTTTAGAAAATATAAACGGTGAATCTGACTTACTCTCTACCACATTTGTCTGTATTTCCTCTCAGACTTGGGTAGTGTACCTCACCATCTTGGTTAGCATTTACCCAGGGGGAGCTGCCTCTCTCAGAGTGCTTCCTAAAGTTAAGACAATATTATCTGCACAGAATCTTATACAGCAGGTGCTAAATTAATGTTATTTTGACCAGAATTTGGCTTTGGCAGTGTTGCCTCATTTTTTTGTACTCATCAACTTCCAAATTTTCTCCAAAGTACCTATGTGTTTAGAATGGAAACTGATGGATCCTAAAAAGAATATTTTTCGTGATACACATTCCCTGGTGGAAATATTTCTCAGACTGAAAAAAACCCACTTCATATGGTGCAAAAGCATCGGTTAAAAGCAAAATACAAAAAACTTCGGCACTTCCCACATAAAACCCAAAAGAACACTAGATCATTTTTTCCTTGCCGTGGTGTGGGACAGGAGTGCTATAGGGTCCTGAAGCAGTGACTCTGGGGCAGATAGCAAGCAGGACTTTGGGGTAGGTTACGTCACTTGCTCAGTGACAAACAGCGAGTAGGCTGCAGAGGGAGCTACGGGGACGTGCTGGACTGGAGGTGACCTGACTGCAGAGTGTGTGTGTGTGCCCGGGCAGGAGCCACAGCTTTGGGGTAGCCACACTAGAGAGGAACGAGGAGGCAGAGGCGTTGTTAGATGTTAGGAGGGGAAAGAAAGCAAAGTGTTAGCCAAAGCACCAGCTGCTGCACTCCTGTAACTAAGAAACAAGATTTGTGAGCGAAACAGGAGAGACCCTGCTAGTTAGTAACCCCCACGCTGTCTGAAGACCTTTGCCAGCCCTTTAAAAACACCTGAATATTCAGTGCCGTTCCTTTGAGACCCAATAAGAGTAATTGCCTCTTATGGCTGCTCTGTCTGAGGAGGAGCCTGCTCTGCCATCTTCCTATGTCAACTTTCCTTTCACTTCGGGCTTAAACTGTAGTGTGGCTGATTTCCATGTTATCTGAGGCTAAAAGCCCACACTGCACTGTGACAGTTCTACACTGTAAGATGAGTCCTTACCTGGAAAGCTGTGTCCACAGCAAGGTGACCCCAGGAAGAAATGAGAAGCAGGAGACTTTTCCTGAATATGTTATGGTCTTTAGCCCAGCATATACATAAGATCTGAAGAATGTGTTCTGGTAAATTTTCTTACAGAGATCACAAGGGTGAAAACTTGTTCTTTCCTCTAGAAACAGTTGCTGTTTGGTGAAAGATTCAACCATCCCTGTTCGCCTTTTATGGTCTTATCCAGGGTACTGATTATGCAAATTTAGGGGCTGACACCATGTGTCCTTAGCTTTTCTTTGCAGAATGTGTTTGCTTTCCCTTGTACCTCCAGATAACCAGCAGGCCAGGGCCTGGAAGATAAGATGTGATTTTGTAGGAAGGACATCTTTCCTCATTCCCCTTTCCCAGTTACCTAATGAAAAAGATGGGTACAGAGATGTTGGGTGAAATTACTTCTTTAAAACCAGAGCTCTTTCCTTGTACACATAGAGTACAGAACTTGCTACAAGGAGGACCTGAAGGTTTCCCTTACTTTTGTAAAATCTGTTCTCCATGCCTTTGTGTGCTTCAGTTAAATTTGAGAACAATGATTCACCCTAGGCCTTTCTCTGTAACAGTCTTGAAAGCCAAGGAAATGGCAGCCCTGAGAGTTTGAACCCTGTTGGTCACAGAAGCTACTTGTGGTGGGCAGTATTTTATCTCAGAACCCTGTCACTCAAAGCCCCCCTCACACAATTGCTCCATGATATTGAAAAATGAAACCACTTTAAAAAAATCTGGAGTGGATAAGTAAATGGATAAGTATTTTTAGTCCAATCTCTACTGTGTGAAATAATCAAGAATGGAAGTTTGACACTGTCCAGAAATTTGAATGTGTTGGTTCTTTTGTGTTTTTCATTCTAATTAATGGTCCCATCATAGATGAAAAAGATTGAATTAGAAGAACAGTGACCCAAGCAGCTCAACTGTGCTTATATATGGTGGACATGCACATGTTTTCAGGGTTTTCTTAACAGAGGAAAGGGTTGTGGTACTCCCTACACTTCAGTTTCCCTGCTTTGGTAGAGCTTCTGTCACATAAAGTGCCGATCCTGTACCATCAGCCGAATTTCTTCATTTCCCTGATCCTGGAGACCTGAACACAGCTCCCTCCCACACACTAACTGTCACCCTGCACACTCAGTCCTAAACAGGGGCACTGTATTGGGCTCACAGTATGAGGGTCTGGGCTCAGATGCCCCTTCCCTTTTGTATGGGTGTGTCCTTGAGCTTCATCAGGGCAGTTCCTTATCAGTGAAATAGGATCGTTTTCTTACAGAGCATCTCAGCCTTTAAGTCCTCTCTAAGATGCTTTTTTTTTGGTACCGGGGATGGAACTTGGGTCCTTGCACTTGCGAGGCAGGCCACCAAACCGCTGAACTAAATCCCTGTCCCTTAAGATGCTTTGATTCTACAGTTATTCTGATTCCTATTAAAAATAAGATAATGAAAGTAGAAGTTTCATTTGGGGTTCAGACACAGACAGGTACAGGTACAGTAAAAGCTTCCTGAGAAGGAAGCTTTTACTTCTCACAGTAAGAGTCCTCATTCTCAGAAAAGCTGTTGTCATGCTCTGAGGCCCAGCAGCAGTATAAACAGAGTTGGCAGAGTCCCCTGAGCGGGAATATCAGGTCCACACTGGAATTCTCCGCATTGGAATCAGACCCCACTGCATCTGACTGGCGTGCCCATTTCCTTTTTCAGGTGAGTACTGATATCTACTGTACCATAATTCTTCACCCATAACTGGAGTGCAGCTGAAGCTCTCTGAAGCAGCAGCATTGATACTAGAGATATCGCAGGCTCTTGCTTCTCTGCTAAGCAGTAGACTGTTGGGAGTCTGGAGAGAGGGAATGCAGTGCCCAGAGCCATCTCTGTCTTGGGCTCTATCAAAAAGTAGTCATTTATTTTAACCTTTCAGTGGGAACTAAAATTATCATGATTACTAGGTAAATCTTGCAGTATGTATTGTTAAACTTAACAGGGCCCTAGCTTCAAAAAAGCCTCTATCTATGCATGCAGTAAGATAAAGTCACAGACTCACAGATTTACCCTCTTTGCTGTAGTCTGCCTGCCTCGCCTCCATGAAAAGATTTGTTGAATGTACTGACTTACGTCTTTCGTTATTCTTTTGCCATAAAAGTTCACATAACTTCTTCCTCTAGGAAACTAGTTGTTCAGGGTAAACTGAGTATTCCCAGGTACTAATCAATATCTTTGGCTCAAAACAAGCAATTTCTTATTTTTAAAGGAAAGCTCTTATAATTTGTTTGTTTGTTTTGAGACAAGGTCTCACTATGTAGTTCAGGCTGGCCTTGAACTTTCTGTATAGCCCAGGCTGGCCTCAAACTCATGGTGATCTTCCTGCCTCCGCCTCCCAAATGCTGGGATTATAGGCATGTGCCATCATGACTGCAAGAAAGTTGTTATTTTACACTGACATTAAGTTTTTAATAGTGATTAATGGATTAATATTGGTTAATGGTTAAATTTGTAGAATGCTTAGAAGAAAACCTAGAACATTAAAAATATACTAATGTTTTTCTAAATGAGACAGAAGCAAACAGCCTTATATGAGTGGGTTAGTGTCCTACATGAATATGCCTGACAAGATATTGAGTCAAATATTTTTACTTAAGAAGTACCGAAGTCTGTGATGGTCCAGATCTCAATGTCCCCCACATGCTCAGGTTGGGAGGTGGAGCTGGGTCGCAGTGGGCAGGTCCCAGGGTGTGTGGCCTGGAAGGGTGCATTCTCGTCCTAGGGCCTCCCTTCTCTCTCTGCTTCCTGGTCACCGTGGCATGGATAGCATTACTCCACCACAGTCCTACTGTGACAGTCCTAGTGAGGCTTCTTTGGAGCCAGAAGACTTCGGAGTGAATTCACTGAAACCGTGAGCCAGAATAAGTTCTTCTCCTTTGAACTGCAGTCATCAAATATTTTGTCCCAGTGACAGGAATGAGACTAAGACAGACAATCGGTACCAAGACTAGGATTGGTGTACATCTGCACCTGGTCCTGTGATTTAGAAGTCTTTGGAACTTATTTCCAGAAGATCATAAACCTTTAGAGATGCCATCTAAGGGTGACCTAGAATGTTGTGAGCAGTGCTTGTTGTGCGATCCTAGTGAGAGCTCAGAAGCCCAGAACAGGAACTAGGAATGTGGACTATAAGGCCAGACTCAGGAGGACTCCATTAGAAGTTGGACTAACATCTGTAGGCGTTATGCGGAATATTTGGCTTCATTTCACTGATGTCCAGAGACTTCTGGAGACTGAAACTCATTGATGCTGAAGTTTGCAATGTTTTTTAATTTTCACATGAAATTAATGTATGTTCCTTAGAAAAAACTGAGGAACAAGAGTTTGAAGAGAAAAAAATTTATTATGTTCGATTTTTGAGTTATGCGGAGTCCCACAAATGGAACATTAGGCAAAACCACTGCTACATTGTACATAAAAACAGTGTTTCTTGTCTCAAGAGGTGGTGACACTTGCTACTCAGTGTGGCATTCAACAGAACGCTTCACACTTTTTACATCTAAAAGTGTCATTCTTCTGACATTGGGCCCACTGTGTTTGCTTTCCCTGCTCACGAGCACATGATTTATGCCATCGTGGCATGAGGCAATGTTATGCATCTGCACAGGTCTTCCTTTTCAGCCAGGTTCTGGGTGATGACCATGGGTCTCCAGAGAACAGCAAACCGCACATTGATGAAACTTCAGAAAATCTGCAGGCTTCTCCTCATATGTTTCATGCAGTTGCCAGGCATTTTGGAGGTTACTTCAAAGCAAAACAAAAGAGGGCTTGAACACCATTTCTTTCCGTGGATTGATGCCCAGTGCTTATCAGTGTTTTTGTTAGCTCTGTCTACGCCTCCTATGAACTGATTATATACTTTGACTGTGGTTGGCTGCTGAACTTCGATCTTCTTTTTTATTTTCTGGGAATAGCGATCGACAAGAGATCAATACCAGCACCAGATGAGGCAACAATGACAACACTGTTATCATTTCATCTGCAAACGTTGCCTTTGCCTTCAGTTCGGTAATTGTGCCTTTCTTTCTTCTGTCGAGCTACATCTGATTCCAGTGTTGCTTTGTCAGTGTAATCCTTTCTCACTGTACCTGCTGCCTGAAGTCACATTGAGCTGAGCCAATCAAGAAATGTGATACTGGTGAAAAAGTTATTGAATGCAAAATGGTATTGTTCAGGGTGTAAGTGATTCAACAGGTTGAAGGTCAAGATGCACCAACACCCTATTCCTCATGTTTAGTGTTTGGGATTTTACCTGATGTGGCTGAATTTAGCATGTGTAGCCCAGGCCTGTGACACGACACCAAAACTCATAGCCATATTGAATATGCTTTCTCTGAATAAATTGTTTGCACCCACAATGACAAAAATAAGGAACCATGGACCCATCAAAGCTGAAATATGTTTCATTTGGAACAAATGTTATACATCTCTCATTGAGTTTGCTTATAGAGATTGCAACTTGGAAAACTTATACATTGGATCCAAATTTGCATTGACAGCCACATGCAAATTAGAAAATATACTCTTTTAGTGGTCACAGCAGCACTAACAAAGATACTATGTTTATCTGTTCTTTGTTCCCAAAACATAGGCCTTCTAGGAATTGAGGTGTAACAACTCAGAAAAATAATTCCCAGATACATTTGGATTCAAAGCCAAGATGTGCACCCTTACTTCCAGCAAGTAAATTGGAATTTTATTAGTCCTAGTGGTAATGTTTGGCTGGTTTTTCAGAACTAGAACATGCAAATTATAAAACCCATAACTAATGTAACAATAATAATTTCCACTTTTTGTTTTTACAGCCCCCAAATCACTAGTATATAAGTAATAAAAATTATTAGTTTAGGATGCAGTGCAATAAAGTTCTATACACTTGTCAATGGACACTGCCTCAAAACTGCTGCCAAAACTCACATCACTTTTTTACCGACTCCCAGCACGGCAGTATATAGCACTTATCAGGAGAAGGATATGTGTGAAAGATGAGACCTTTGTGAGCACCGTGAGCAGCAGGATGTAAGTAACTTCCATGTGTTAGCACTCCCGTACTAGGCATTAATAGGGAAAGGGAGTGGGCTAATTAATCTGGTGGAGGAAATTTCAAGGCAGCCCAACATTCAGGGTGTGGCAGGGATTCTGGGGTGCTGGTTGCTTTTAGCTAGATCTATAGTGAGAATCAGGAGCAAACAGCAGAGCTGAATGATTTGAAAAATCTGCAGTTTCACCTTAATGTCGAGATGGAAATTTCATGGGCTATCAACATTCAGTGGAAAATTAGCCACCTGGCAAAATGCATATTTGAAGAGAAGGGTTCGACCAAGCAAATTTCTGGTAAAGAGATTGGCAAAAATGCTAACAATCAGAACAAGTGGGAAAAGGACTTAAGGTCATCTCAGAAATTTTCAGAAGATCCCATCTATCAGTTGCCCTAGCCTTTCCAGAGCAAAATTGTTTCAGGAACTGAGCTCATGGCTGTCTACTTGGACTCAATATTTTTTTCTCTGATTTCAGCCCTGGTTCATATGACTCAAATGTACCTCATGCCAGTTTTGTCCCTGGGCCTTTACAGGATGCTTGTTTTGCAAGTGTACATAATGCAAGAAATTTGGTGTCTAAGCAGCTTCCACTGAGACTTGAGAGGAAAGCCCTAGGGGCAGGCAGAAGTTTCCCAAAAGTCAGAGGTGCCTCCAGTGGGGTGATGCCTCGTGGAGCTACAGTGGGAACTCTAGAAAGATACAGGTACCACAGTGGATAACACCCAGCAGGGAGAGCTGCAGGCATCCTGCAAAACCTGACCAAGAGAATAACCGTGCATCTCTGACCAGCCAGTCTAATCTGTGGGATCGATGTGGCCTAAGGCCTTGTGGTCCGTCTTTGCCACCATGCGGAACTTAAAGCCTTAGAAGGTTAAGTTCTTGCTTGCTGGATTTTGGTCTTGTGTTGAGCTACTCACACCTTCCTATTTGCCTTTTTCTCCCATTCAGAGTAGGTATGTTAATTCTGCTTCTGTCCCACCATTGTATCTTGGAAGCACTTAATTGTGTGTGTGTGTGTACTTCATTTTTCAGAGGTTCCATGCTTAAAGTGTTGGCCTTGAATCACAGATGAGTTTCTGGACTCATTCAGTGAAGCTTTGGGCTCATTGGGAATAGAGTGAATGCTTTTTGCGCTGTGAGATGGACATGAACCTTGGAGGCCAGAGGCAGAATGTCATGATCTGGATATTGTTTGCTTCCAAGGCTGGTGTGCTGGAGGATTAGACCGTGCTGTGGTGATGCAGGGAGATGGCGTAAACTGTCGTGAGGTGGGACATAATGGGAAATCCTTAGATATTGGAAGTATTCCCCTCTGAAGGGATTGAAGTGGTTCCCTCTAGAGCAAGCTGTGCTAAAAGCAAGCCTGACCTTTGACTCTCCCTCTGGTTGACTGTCACAGACATGCTTCCTTTCTTCCAAACACGCTCTTAAATGTACCATTTATGTTGAGGTCCTGACTCAAACTTGGTTGATACCTTTGCTATATATCTTTGGGGCTCTAGAGCTGTGAGATAAATAATTCTCTAACTTTATAACATTATCCAGCCTTAGATATTTTGTGACAGTAATAAAAAACAGAGCAAGGCAACTACAGACAAAATCTTGTCATTCTCTCTATGTGGTGCCAATAACTTCAGTAACTCAAGATGATGACTTTGCTTCATGAGCGTGATCTCTCTAGTTTTTAAAAATACCAATACTAGGTTGGGGATTTAGCTCAGTGTTTCCTCTGCCTGCTTCACAAGCATGAGGTCCCAAGTTTGATCCCCAGTACCAAAATAAAAAAGAAAAAAAACAAAACAAAAAAAAACAAAAACCAGTACTAGTCTCTAATATACCATTGTTTAAAGAATCATATCTGTGGTACTAATAGGTTAGCTGAAAAAGGAATTTTAGCACAAATGATAGTAAATTTGCATTCTTATCACTTGTGGCACAATTTTACCTATTAGCATGAGAATCTTTTACATTTAATTAGAAATATGTAACAGGGTAGTTGATTTAGAGTTCTAAATTTAAGTTGGATCATTACTATATTTTTGTTAAAGATTAGCAGACCTACTACAACTTCCAGTTCACTGATTTTATCCTGTGATAACTTAATTCCTAGACTTTTAAGTTTCATTAAACATGATTATATTTGTTAGTGAGTTTGAATCTTTTAAAGATTTTAAATGTGTACCTTTGATTATTTTAATGTATTTCATATACTAAGTTTATAAGTATATCCATAATTTATAGGTTTCTAAAAATGTTGTAAATGTCAGACCCAATGCTGACTTGGAAATAGAATAAAAAATTCCTATGAAAGTAAAATTTTTAAAAATTAATGGGGGCCGGGGATTTTGCTCAGTGGTTCTGCCACCTGCCTTGCAAGAGCAAGGACCCAAGTGTGATCCCTGGTACCAAACAAAGAAAAAAAAAATTAATGGAAGGAAATCTTTGTGAGCTATTAATCTGACACAAGATGAGTATCCAGGGTATATAAAAAAGTTTTTAAAAATACCAAAAGAATAATCAAATTAGTAAATGAACAACTGAGCTGAAAAGACTTTGCAAAAAGAAGCACAAATGGCAGATAAATGTATGGAAAACGCTCACCTTATTTAACCATCAGGGAAATGCAAAGCAAGCCTGGATTAAGATTCCGGGTCCTACAGTTAGATGGCGACCATTAGGAAAACAAATAATAGCAAGTGCTGGCAAGGATGTGGGAAAAACGGCAGCGCTCCGCACTGTTGGTGGTGGGAATGGAGGCGAGTACAGCCACTGTAGGAGAGTTCACGGAGGCTGACCAAAGAGCTAGAACCAGAACTGGAACGTGACCCATTCTGCTGCCGCTTGTGTGTACTTGAAGAAATGAAAGTCAACCCATTGGCTAGATACTTGCTCCCTGGGGCAGTTTACAAGAGCCCACATTTACAGGCAGCCTTGCCTTGTGCCTGTCGATGGGGGAGTGGATGCAGAATGGGCGGTGTGTGTATAGTAGGTATTCGTCAGCCAAAAAGAAATGAAAATCAGTCTGTGAGGTACTGAGTGCAACTGCAGATCATCGTGTGAAGCCAAATGAGCGAGAGTCAGAAAGACAAGTATCGCCTGTGTCCTCTCGTGTGGAATGGGGTATGGAAGACGTGAGAATAGGAGGAGGGAGTATTAGGGAAGAGGGAAGGACACGGCATCAGAGTCAGGGAGGACACGGTCCATGTGCTTGAAACGCCTGCATGAAATGTCAGAATGAAACCCATTATTTTATGCAATTAATGTGCTAATCATTTTTTAAAAAATAAAAGTAAGTCAACTTAAAAGAGCTAGAAGAAACCCCACAGTTTCACCATCTTGTGGCAGGTTGCACTTGGAGGAAAAAGTCTTCCCTGTCCCACAAATTCGCAGTGAAATCTTGAAAAAAATTCTGAATAGTGACTTGAGAACAAGAGTAATTGACCTCAGGCTTTTTGGCTCTGACTGGAAGAACAGATGGATGATCATAGGAGGCTTTAAGTGCTTATTATGAGCACTGATTTCAGATGACTTTATTTGATACAATAAAACCAACATTTTCCTACTAAATACTGAGTCTATTCCTCTAACTGGATCAGGATTTTCTCTTCTCCCCCTGCCCCTCTCTGTGTATGAGGGGATTCACCTCTCCCTACATTCATATTAAAGCTCATCATCTATTTCTGATGTCAGGAGAGGTCTGCAGATGATATTTTACCTGGTGTTCAAGTACAGGAAGCTCACCTTTTCTTCTTTGTTGAGGGTCGGGACTATGATGGTCTCGAGACTTCTCCTGGTGACATTCCCTTTCCTTTTTTCCTTCTTCAAGTACCTGCTATTCCTCTAGCACTACTGCTGCTGTCTTCCTAGGAAGACTCGCGATTGACCCCTCCTGTGGTCTCCTTTATCATCTAGACCCACATGATTCTCACCTGGACTACAGGGGTCACAGGGATCTCACGGCGTGTGCATTGGCCAGGTGCCTCCTGGTCTCTAGCCCTGTACAAAGCTTCCTGCAGCCCCCACCCCGATCTTGTAGATCCACCTTCCTAGGTTGAGTGTTCTTGTATCCTTTTCTCCTTACATCCATGTCACATCATGGAACATGTAGATTAAGCTTCCACAAAGAAGTCCCAGTGCCACCAAGGGATCCAGGAGGGCATCAGTGGAGCTAAGCCTGAAAAGGCGGTGCTGCGTTCTCTTTTCTGGGCCAGGAATAGCAATGTGTAACTCGTTGCAAAAGATACTGATGCTATTTGCAAAAATATTACCAGTTCTTCTGTTTTTTAGTTATTCCTAGAATTACACCACATAGTTTCTGTGTATATACATGTGAAATTTATTTCACATGGTTATCATACCAGGTCTAGGAAGCGACCTGGGAAAGGATTTTAAAAGACCTATTGAGAAGACAGACCTCTCTCCAGCCAATAAAAGGAAAGCCATAGAAGTCCAGAGGGGAAAATCGTAAGAATCCATATCCCAGCAAACAGGCAAGACTGAATGAGGCAAGAGATCAAAGGAGAAAGCAGGCAGTGTGTTAGCACGCATCAAAGGTCCTGGAAATGAGCAGCTGGGTCAGCCCTGGAGCAGGAGAGCCTGGCCTGCTCCACACTGAGGAAGCGAAGGCTGGCTTGTGAGTGATCTGAGGGCTGGAGCTTGGGCTGTGATGTTCACCACACATCCCTCCATCACAGAGCCCAGGGTCCACTCCATTCTAAGGGATTTTTCCCTCTGTGTTTCCACACCCCCTTCTCCAGCCAGCGGCGTGCTCCTCAGCGACCTATGTTCAGGGACAGCTTTACTGTGGCAGACAGTTCCACTGGTGCCAGTCACAGGGCATGGGGACATAGCGCAGCCTGACAGACGTTTTCTTAATAATGTGGTTGGCCTTATCAGTGTGGGCATAGAGAGGGAAGCCTAGTTTCACCAGACTCTGGATCTGGTAAAGGCTACTATGATAAATAAGATGCTGGCCCCGGTACTCAGGCACGGTGGCCCCCATTCGCAGCTCTCCGGTGTGGTCCATCAGGCACCAGGACACCGGTGTCCCCTTAGGCCCCAGCAGACAGAAGCTGGGGAAAGTGCGGATACAGCGCTCGATGAATCTCTGGCTTCTCTCAGTGCCACCAAAGTGCCAGAACTGGTTCACCAGAGCAGCGTGGGTAACATCCAGGGATGAGAGTTTGAACATCTCTTGGTCGCTGTTGGGAAAAGGGGAAAGAACAGCCCTTCATACCGTGTCCACTGAGAAGCGTTTTCCTTCACATTAAACTGGAGGCAAATGGGAGCACACGGAAGTCTGTGCGTTCTGAAACCTGGGTGCCTGGGTTTTTATCGCCGCTGCTTGTGTGACTTCCCCGTTAGTTACCTCTCGTTCTCCCCATTTCCTCGTGGAGTGACTAGAGATGAGGAGCAGAGCTCCCTGAGAACCCCCGAGGGTATCCGTGGGTCCACGGTGCAGGCACCCAGAACGGCACTGGGCTGCTACTATTGCCAGTGGGATTCAAACACCAAAGATTAAGTTGAATAAAGTAGCTAATTTCAGTAATCACAAGTGCAATGAAGAAAGCCAAACTTGGTCATATATGGCGAGTAACAGGAAGTGACTCTAGGTGGGATGATTTGCCAGGACCCTGGTGACATTTCCGCATTTGTACCAACGTTTCTTATCATTGGTATAGGTCTGTGATTTATATCCGCTGCATCCACCTTGGGGAAATGGGAAGTGTACGTATCTCCTCTTGGCCACTTTTACTTCCTCTTCCTTTCCTCCCCTTCCCCTCCCATTTCCTGTATTCCTTTCCCATCTCCACAGTGTCCACCTCCCTACTTCCTACCATCTCTCTTTCATTTACATAATGTAGGGTTGGGAGAGAGACATTTTAGGTGGCTGGGAGTGTGAATTTCAAGGGTCCACAGACTCCGGAGGGAGCACATACCTTGACTGCTTTATATCAGGAAACTGCACACAGTACTTCCTACCCTTTCCATCTCTTGGGGTGAACTCAAGGGCCTAATGGGATTCTAGAAGTAAAGGTGCCTGCTATGTTGTAGTGCACCTGACAGCGTGAACGAGCCCTTCCAGGTGCACCGGCACCGGAGGTCACAGGACTGAGCCCTGAAGGCCAGACCCACTGCAAATCCTTCTGCAGTTCATACTCACTACTCACACTGTATTCCAGACAGAATTACATGGAAATCAGTTTAGGAATATGTGATTTGTTCGAGTTCTTTTCCCTGGGACCCTTTTGTTCTGGGAAGTGAATTCATCACACGTGTTTATTGATATGCATGTGTGTGTGTGTGTGTGTGTGTGTGTGTGTGTGTGTGTTGGGCACTATGTTAGCTCCTGTGGGTCTAGTAGTGAACAGGTGTGTTCTTGCTCTTGTAGTGTGTTTCCATACTGTTTCTAAGGAGATTCAAGCATCAAGTGAGTTAAATAAATATGTTAGCTAATTTCAAATAATCACACATGCAATGAAGAAAACAAAGCTTGGTCATATGTGGAAAATAATGGTGAACTGACTTCAGAGGGGATGATTTACTGAGAGCTCTGGTGAGGAAATATTTCAACATTCCTGAGTAGCAAAAGAAGTCATTGGTAAAAACATTAAGTAGGGCTCCAGGACAAATATTTTAGGCAGAAGTGAGCTAAATTTTAAGGCTTTTCCTGCTTCATAGAGAGCATGATGACCCTGTCAAGATTTTAATTTTGAATTTCTAGATTCTAAAAACTGTAAAGAATTTCTGTTGCTTTAAGTAAATTTTTTGTGAGAGCTTCTGAAAACTAATATAAAAAGTGACTTCAGCAGTGACAGATATGAATGTCATTGAGTCCATTTTGTCAAACTTACAGGGGCTTGGGTTTGTCTCCCTTGGGTGACAAGTTCTTTACGTCCACCAGAGAAGGAGCCAGTTTCTTTGCTGTGTCATAGACCATGTAGAGATTGCATTGTGTGTGCTTGACCTTGCTTAAATTGATGTCTACAAGATTTTGTATCACTCTGTTCAGGTTGGACTGTGAACCTGGGTGGGAGAAAAACATGAAATATCATCATTGATATTAACTTTCTGGACTTGTTGCCCAATGGTGCTGAAAAATACATGGATACAGAGTTATCGCACAGTGTCTCAGCCGGATTTCCTGGAAGTGAGACACAATACCTGACACCTTCTCTTGGAGGAGAGGTTCCGTTGGATTCCCAGTTTCAGGGAACTCAGCCCATGACTTGGGAGCTCATGGGAGGAAACTGCCTGGTGGGAGGGTGCGAATGAGTAACGGTTCAGTTCAGCGTAGGAAGCAGAGCAGAGTACAGCCCAGAGATGAGGGCCAGAGATAAGCAGAACCCAACTTCAGGCCTTTCTGTCCCACCCAGGCACACCAAGAACTGTGCTTTCTGAGCCCCCTCTGCACTTGTCTGTACAGTAGAGCTGATTCATTTCAATTAACAGGCGCCCACATACTTTCTGATCAGTCATCACAGAAGTTTTATGTAATAATGGCTGTATTACTGCCACATTTTTTAAAATTTCAAATTGAGATCATTCAAGAGGATGTAAATATACTATACTACAGTTATGCCTAACATGGGAGATGAATATAGATAGAAGGACTAAATTTTTTTGAACAATTCTATGCAGGCAGTACTATAGACCTTTTCTGTTCTGTCCCTAGATTATTCCTATTTTGCTGATTTGATTTTTTTCTCTTGAACTGATTCTGGGCTTCAGGTAAGTGGCCTTGGCCAGTGCAACAGCAACAAATGTGATGCAGGCAGAGGCCTAAGAGTGTACTGCAGCTTGCCTAGTTTTCTGTTCCTGAGGACTCCATGTTTTTACATGTCTACTTCACTCTGTCACTGCAGTCATAGCTGGCAGATGCAAAGTTAATATCAAGAGCCGGGCTTGCGATCATTGCTGCCAGTTCACACACCATCCTTCAGCTGACGGTCCACACGGCTGAATTTCCCGAGACCAGCAGAAGAACCGTTTAGCTGAGCCTGGTCCAAACTGCTGATTAACAGAATTGGAAGATGATAGTGATTGGTGGTTTAAATAGCTACTTTGAGATGTTGAAGATCTGATAAAATGAGAGTACTGCTATGCATTTCCCATTCAAAATCTCACTTAATCCTCAAGGACTGTATATTTTGGATACTGTTATCATCATTTTACACATAGAAACTTCACCACAGAGAGGTTGTTACTTGGCCTAGATCACACAGTTAATAAGAGGTTCAGCAATTTTAAGTAGTCTGACTCGAGAGAGCATATTCTTAGTGTCTAAAATATTCCTTTGTGATTTGCCAGTGACATGCAGGGGAAGCTTTTCTCCTCACAGACTTCTCTAATACCAGATCCAGAGCACACCAGAGAATATGTCAGGAGTCCTCAGCTGCTAAGAAATCAAGTTCCAGTTCACTATACAACCAGGTACACAGCTGTCACCTCATATTCATTCTGTAACAGTAGCCGCTGACACTAGGAATGGACAGCAGACTTTTTATCTTGGGAGAAAGTCAGTGCGTTTAACATGCTTATTCAAGATGGAACTCAATCCCACCAACATACACAGAACTCAGCATGCAGGACACACTCCTGCTTACTTTGAATCTGCAAATGCTGTTTCCAGTTGATGACTGCTGGGGAGCCAAGGAACTCCTGGCTTTGCTCAGGATCCTTGGAGTAGATCAGGTAAGTGTTGGTGTAGTGATCAAGGTCATCAGTCATTTCCTGTTGAGCCAAGAGGAATCGACCAGAGTGTCCATAATTGATGATTATTGTTGTGGCATTCAGTATTCTATTATATTTTGATATTTTGTACATTAAATTAGTATTTTCTGTTGCTTTTTTGCCTTTACTTAGGAATTACTTACATCATGTGGTTTAGTCAAGGTCCCATATTTGGTTAAAAATGAGAAAATTCTTGAACATAACTCTTGCTACCTCAGATAATGCTTTGAAATTTCAAAATAATCCAATTAAAATCATTTTCGATGCCTCTAGGAATCATAAGTAAAAGACTCAGAATAACAATTGAAAAGCAAAATAATGAGTCAAAAGAGTAAGTCTGGCACTGGCCTATGAGTAAGTCCTACAGAGATTACAGAATTAGAATATCATCTCTGCAAGGTGGAAATAAAAAGAAAGTTGATGAACAGCCCTTTCTTTAGGAAAAAAGGGCTTAGCATTTTAAAATGAACTACAGTAACATCAAACATACTCAATAAATGTGTATCCAAATACTTCTAGATTGAGGTTATTTCAATATGAAGGAACAAATAAGGGAAAAATTACTACCGTTAGCATCAGAAAGGTTTCTTTCCTTCCATGTCAAGAAAATATTGAAAATACACTTTCTACTCAGCAATAACTCTGAGTATCAAAATAGCAATTTTCTTATCTTGCCACATTAAAAATTCACATTTTTAACATCCACTTTTAACTAAATTTATACTGAGAAGCAAATCTGATCCTTTACCAGAAATAACATGCAGAGAGGCTCTTCTTCCCTGATTTATTAACTTATTTATAGACAGTTTGTTACAGTACAGTTAGATCAGTGCCTCACTGAGAGTGTTCTAGTGTAACAGTCAATGCAATGTCAAAGCCAGTGTTTTTAAAGATAAGTACATTTTCCCTTTAGACTAACAGACTACAGTTTTGTAATGTCTCTAGCAAAAGCTCAGACTCATCTGTGTCATTAGCATGGTCTTAAATTGGCAAAACATTCAATTGTTGGCTCTAATTCCGATGATCTGAATGTAAGAAATAATAAAGCTTGTTTTTTAAATCCGCAGATGCTGGTTTGGGTACTATCTTGTGAACAAAATAAAACACTGTATGAGTATGAAAGTGTTCAACATATACTTTAACTTTCTGTGGTATTTTTGTGGTTCAGACCCAACACATCCCTGGAAAGTCTGCACCTTTGGAAAGTGATTGGGTGATGGGAGTGCTATAATTACCACTGATGAGTTTATAACCTGGCTTCCTTTAATTGGTCAGAGTATGGTATTGTTTCCTGAAGACAAGAAGCGCATCTTTTCTGCATTTCTGTTCCTGCCTCTTCGACACAGTGCTGTAATTTATCTGTACATTTCTCTAGATTCTCTTTCAGGCCGAACTGCTGGAGGACAGGGACTTGTTGGCGCTATTATGAGTCATTTCTGTTTCCCTGAGTGAAACCGTGTTGCCTGGCACAAGGCAGTAACACAACACACACAAACACAGTGGCACACTCGTACCACAGCTGGCAACTTACCTGCTCCTGAGGACGAATAACCACGGTGTTAAAATCAGGCCATGAGTCCACCAGGGCCTTAAGCTTGAATGGGTTTCCCTGGTTCATATGGAAGACTGTCCCATACACCTGTAACATTTCAATAAAGCAAGAGGTCATCCTGGTACAGAAGGACATTGGAATGTCTCTTGTTCTACCAGAATAGAGCGTTTTTCCATATGAAAGCATATAATTGTTTGACTCAAAAGTAGCAGGTAGGGCTGGGGATTTTGCTCAGTGGCACCACACTTGCGAGTGCAAGGTCCTGAGTTCGATCTCCAGTACCAAAAATAAAAAGAAGTTGTGGGTAAACATGTCAAATCCCTTTTAAGTTCTGTTTCTTTACTTTTATTAAAATATCTTTTAAAAATAATAAGACCAACACAACTCACAAACAGATATCATTAACTCTCTTACTGTAGAATTTAATAAGGTCTTTCACAGATTTCCTTGATGTACACAAAACACATTTTTGAAAACTAAAGTAATTAGGTATATATTTCTTCATTCACTGCAAATGCTTTTGTGATTATTCATTGAAGTACCCTTATGGTTGTTATTTCAAAAACCTCAATTACTCTAATAGTTTATATATCAATTGCTATTCCTTATTTAAATGAAAATTTTTTTGTTCTTAAAGGAAAAATTATTAAATTGGTCCTCTGATTTATTGGATATTACATAATAAGCTCTAGGTCTTTTTAAAATTTTGCTTTAGGGGCTTTCTCTGATGCTTCTGAGGCAGGGAAAGACAAGTTTGGCTCCTCACTGTCGCAAGTTGGAGATAGATTGCATGTTTCTCTCTACTATCTGTTGGCACCCGAGGGCAACTGGGCTGGCCAGTATTGCGGAGCCGGAGTTCAGGATCCCATTTTGCATACAGTGGAGCCTTGGCATGGAGGGGCAGGGTCCCTGTTGCACCCCATGTACCTTTTCCTGAGACCGTCTGGGTCTGTTGGCTCCCTCAGTGCTGGGTGTAGTGAGTCCCGTCCTCACAAGGCCATCACTCGGAGTAGAGGGAGAGAGGTGCCTCCTTGGTTCCTGAGGTTGGGAGTCTGGGTTCCCCCAAAGCCATGGCTGGTGGGGCTGTAGCTGCTGGGTTTCTGTGATGCTTCCTTCAAGTACGCAGATGCTGTGTAGAGTTTACTGTCTTCCCAGGCTTCTGCTCTCTTGGCCCATTGACTAAGGAGAGGAGGGATTTCTTGCAGGTTGCGTCGCTGTGATGATACTCCAGCTCCAGCTTCAGTAGTGTCTGGGGAGGTGTTGCAAGTGAACCTGCAGTGGCTTTGTCTTTCTACATCTCAGAGTCTTCTTACCTTGCATAAGCGTGGACGCGTGTGTGCACACACACGTCTTTAACTTTCTAGTACATGAGTGAGTACAAGTGTATTATAATTTCCTTTCCTATTTTTCTCTTCTTCCATATCAGGGATGCAGCAGGAAAAGCAGCTCAGTGAGCCCCTCCACAGATGCAGTGTGCATCCTGTGTGGACCAGGGCAGAGTCCCAAAGTGCTGGTCTCGATTCCCATGGCTTCCTGGAGTTTGCAAGGAGGTGGAGACTGCAGGGATTCTCAGGATGCAGTCTTTTCCCTCTGCCTGCTGCTCCAGGCCCAAGAGGAACCCTGCTCATCTGCCTTTTCCTGTTTCTTTTATTTCCTTTCCTTTTCATCCACAGCACCCCAATCCTCTCCTCCACGATGAGAAGCCCTATCCAGCATCTGCTGTCTTTGTGATGCATTATGCACTGCTCTTTAATGTACTCTTATCATTTTTATCACAGTCTTAATTTTGAGATATAGAGACTCACAGGCACCTGCTGGAAATGAGAGAGTTCTTGTGTACCCTTTGGTTATTCCTTTGATGGTGACATTTTTGCAAAACTATAGTGTCAGACTACAGTGAGAATATTGATACTGATAGAATCCAGATGTAGAATATTTTCACCAGCATGAGGGTCCCTTATGTTGTCCCTTTATATTTATTCCCACTCTCTTTCCACTCAAGTGCTCTGTAGCCATTGGCAACCATTATTGTGTCCTGCATCTCTAATATTGCAAAGCAAGAATTTTATATAAATGAAATCGTACAGGATATAAACATTTAGGAATTTTTCCCCACTCAATGTACTTTTCTGGAGATTCACAAGTATCAACAGTTGATCCCTTTTACTGCTCAATATTATTCTGTAACATGGACAAAGCTAAGTTTGACCCTTTCCCTTCTGGAAGCCATTGGTGCTATTTCCAGCTGTAGCTATTTCATACAAAACTCCTGCATACATTTCTTGGTGCACTTTTGTATCATCTGTGCATATTTCTGTGTGGACGTCAGTTTGCGTTTTTCAGAGGCGCGTCTCAGGAAGGTGACTGCTGATTGTATGATTGTTGCACACATAGTTTTGGGAGAAGTTTGCGATTCTTCCATTGCTCGCTCACACCGCAGCTCACAGGGGATCCGGTGTCTCCGCCTTATTGCCAGCACTTTGGTGTCGAGCTTCTGCTTTGTTATAAACAGGCAGTATCCTTGGGGCAGTTAAACTGGGTATGTGAATTATATTCTGGCTCCAGCAGTAAGTAGCTGGCCATGTTATTCATGTTCGCTGTCTTCGATCCATCTTCCGTGCCGTGTGGACCATAGTGATGTCCTTCTCCTAGGGTGTCTTCAGGTCTAACCAGCTTCCAGTCAGTCTTGGTGGGTAATGGAATGTAACACTGAAAGGTGCTTACTGTGGTCACCCCGTTTCTTTTTCTACCTGTGAAACCCCCATTGGACTGAAGCTGTACTGTCCTCTTATTAATTCAACTTCTGCTTTTTTGCGGAACTAAATTTTAAAAATCAATCACTACACTCAGTAATTGTTCAAACTTTAAAATACAAAATAAATTTGAAAAACATACATAAATACAAACTTTTGTAACCGCTTTTGCCACTGTGATACCATGAATACTTAAAATCATTTCTGGCTCTCTTTCATGGATAACTTAGAATCTGTTTTTGAATTTATGTAATAGGATTTGACCTATGAAACATTGCAAGAAAATGCACAGTAGTTAACTTCGCATGGATGAACATGTTTTGAAATTAGCATGTATTTAAATCAAACTTTTATAGACACGACCAGGGCAATGCCCACTGCTGAGAACCGTTTCTGAGTGAGCAGTGCTGGGTGGTCGCATCACGGAGACCCGTTCTCCTCCCGGAATATGGGCACAAAGCACCCCACTTCCCGGAAGTGATGTGGGTACCAAGAGACACAGCGTGAAGGAGTTTCCACGGCAGTCTACATGCGAGGGTCAGGTCCTCTTTCTCACCCTCTCGTCCTTTTTCCCAAAGGGTATCCCAGTCTCACCTTTAAGGACTCAGGGAGGACCATCCTCAAAGATTTCTCCAGCATCTGCAGCTTCTGTGCACTTTGCAAATGGATCATCTTGGCAATAGCTCAGCCTGAAGGGACAGGGAAAACAGGCAGGCGTGGCAAGAGGCTTCCACTGCTTACAGCGGAACAGCACAGGTGTTTCCTGTGGAAACAGCAGGAACTTGTGTCTTGCAGGTCTGGAGCTGGCTCCAGCAGACTCTGTGTGGTCAGGATCTGCTTCCTGGCTCACAGGAGCACCTGCTGCTGTGTTCTCAGTGGTGCGAGGGACACGCTGGCTCTCTGCATTTTCTTTATAAGGGCACTAATCCCATTTATGAGGGATCCACCCTTGTGACCTAACCACCTCCCAGTGGGTGATCTGTCTGAGCATTAGTGTCAGAAGAGAACAAAATGCAATCTTTGATTTTATATTTAATGATCCTTGTGTAATGATATTAATACCAAATCCAAACAACATAAGGAAGTGATGTTATGAACTCGATCATCTGTAATGATTGAATTAACTAAGCTTTAAGTGGAGCATTTACATTTATAAGCACTTTGCATGTATCCCGTCAGTACTGCTAACAAGTACCTCATTAAGTAAGTGCAATCCTTTTTATTCTTCTAGGTTATAAACAGTTTTTTGTTCTTTTCATTTTAATTCGGAACGTGTGCAGTGCGTGATAACGGCACTCACTGTGGGGAGTGTACGTCTTTACCTGCAGATCACATCTTGAGCTTTCTCCTTGCCCTTTCCCTCTTCTCCCTCCTGTCTCCTCATGTCCCCTTCCCCTCTCCACAAAGTCTCCCTCTATGTTTTCCTATCATCTCTCTTTCATTGTGCTCTCTGTACATTTTTGTCTTCTTATCTAAGAGAAGCCATGTGCTCTTTGTGCCTCTGAGCCTGCGGTATCTCAGTGAGCGTTCCAGGCCTCCCTGAGCTGAGTGACCCTTCTTTATGGCACAGCAGGAGCCCTTTGTGTGCCTTGGAAGAGGTGGAGCAGACATTGGTTCCCAGCTACTGTGAGGGACAGGACTCTGGGCTGGCACCATAGAGGTACTGCAGGGCCACTCTGAGAAGCTGCCCTGACACCAGGGTGGCAGGCGCCAGGCTGAGGTCTAAGCCCAAGATCCTCTTCAGGCCTTTTACTGGTGTCACTGACACCAAAATCCTCGCCTACCCCAGCGGAGGGTGGGAATGGCCAGAACTTAAGGGCTTTCTCTCTGAAACGTTTCCTTCTATGTTTCTCCACCATTCCTAAAGAATTTCATTCATTAAAGGAAGAAAGGATTTTCTTTTGGTGTTTGTTTTACTATGAGTGTAACATGAATTTTGTATTCCCAGCATAAATCTCAGTGATCATGACACGTAAAAGTTTTTATATAACATTAGATAAATTTTGTATTAGTTTGATTTTCTGTTACTATTTTTTATTCATTTATATTTCTGAGCTGCATGGCTCTGTACATTTGTTTGATCTTTATATAACAATAATAATAATAATAATAATAATGATAATAATAGTTGCAAACTGCACAATGTGAGTCTTTTGTGCAAGCAGGCATGCACTTGGTCAGAAGCTAAAAATAACAGCAACAGGAGCCAGGATTTAGCAGGTGGTTCTGCCTCCTGCCTTGTAAGCACAAGGACCTGACTTCAGTCCCCAGTATCCCCACCCCCACAAAAAGTGGAGAAAAATAACAGCAGCAGCAGAAGTATGCTGTTCACTTAGTAAGGCAGAATGAAACTCAAGGAGGACATGCCAGTAGGACATTTCAGCTGTTTCAGGAGGCAAACCCTGCCGTGACTTTGGACTCAGGTTTCCCACTAATGAAAATGGATGCATAGGGAAAACTAAAATGGAGAAAATGAGAGCATGGAATAGTTTTATAAAGCAATATTAACAGGAAAATACAAGACACACTCCCCATGTCTAGCACCAGGAGGAGAAAATAAAACTGAGATCACAGTCTGTCACAGGACACAAGCACCGACACATTACACACAGTGAAGAGTATGGAGGGGAGGAAGTACTGAAATTAGTCTGCAGTCTTTCCTCAATTATGTAAATCTTTGATTATGCACATTGAATAATAATCAAACATGAAAAAATATAAAGATATAGAACAATAAGATTAGAGGAAAAATAAAATATTACATGCTATGCCTATGCCATAGCATTATAAATAACATTTTTAACTACATTTGTATTTCTGATCATTTAAATCAACAGTAAATATGGCCTGTGTTCTTTTACATATCTTTCTGCATATTTCTTCTGGAATTTGAAAGGGTGCTTCACTTTCCTGGTTAACATTCACCCAGAGAGAAAGGTGTGATTCATAGACATTTGCCTAGTGGAGAAAAGGGAGTGTCTGAACAGCATCTGAATAAAATAGATGCTAAATAAATGTCACAGATCAGTATACTCTGTTGTCAATATGGTTTCTTCTCCACACTCTCACCAACTTCCAAAACCTGTAGTTATTAGCTCTTCAGAAGGAAAACAACACTTAGTTCTAAGGATGTCTATGCTACCTACTGCTGGCTACCCACAATTTTCAAGGTAAACCTTTCTTTCCTTCCCATAAGGATCAATGAATAGATTAGTACTTGCTATGAAAAACAGACAACATTTGATTTGCCTACTTTGCTATGGGAGAAAAGGGGCAGCATTTTTACCTTGTGAGGTGTGTGCTTCCCTGGAAAGTTGTATCCACAGAGAGACTCCAGGAGTAAATGATAAGGGGCAAAGTTTTCCAGAGTAGGATGTTCTTTGTATCCTGGCACATAGAGTTAGGCAATGTGGTAAATGTTTACAAATGCCACTCCACGGACGATCTTACTGGGGACTTGCTCTTTTAGAAAAAAATCACTGGCTGGTTTGGCGTTCAGTGGCATGCATTTCCTCCGTCTCACTCACATTGTCTCAGGAATTGATTTTGGAGATCTTGGAATTGATTGTGTGCATCCTTTAGTATTCTTTTCCAGAACGTCAGAACGTGTGTGTGTTTTGGGAGAGCAGAACTTGGTCAGGCAAATGCCTGAAAAGAGACTGGCGGGAATGCTAGCGATCAGGACAGCTGGGAAGGACTCCGGGGCATCTCAGAAATGTTGAGGATGTTCCTTCCATTGCTGTGGGATTTCCCTGTAGAGCCACTGGGCACCAGTGTCTTTTCCCAGGGAAGTAGCTTTGTTCCTGCCTACACTGACTCAGCAGATTTCTATCCATGGTCTGAGCGCAGAACATGGGGTAGTTGCAGGCTTTCTCACAATCTTTGTGTCTTTGCCTCCCCTATATGGGCATACACTAACATTTTTACCAGGCAGCTGGGCGTGTTAACATTCTACACACTGGTTGGCCATGATCTGTGTAACAGAGTTACATGTGAACTGCACATGCTTACCTAGAGTCAGATATCGCTACACTGTACTTTCCACCCCCACACCATCAGCTTTTCCAGGGCAGAGCTATTTCAGGGACTCTGGGTTTGTTTTTTTTTTGTTTTTCCCTGATTGCTGGTGTGGTTCCAATAGGCATACTAAGGCTCCACAATGAATTCCTGCACTGTAAGGGAAATCTGGAGGGGATTAATGGAACTCAGCCTCTAGAAGCAATCCTGGAGTCTGTTCCCCAATATGAGTTGCAAATGATAGCTCTTTGCAAAAGATATTAATACCAGTTCCAAAAATATTATTGACTCCTTTGCTTTTGAATGCTTCACATATATTATTTGTACTTATATATATTTTATATTGTTTTCCTATAAGATGAAGGAAGTTACCTGGGAAGGCAGCACAGAGGACAGACAACTCCTCAGGCAAGAAAAGCAAAAAAGAATGAAGGAGACCAGAGGGGAAGCAGTTATAGAATCCATGCCCTGGCAAGTGAAGAAGAGTCAGTGGCCCAGGGGAGCAAAGTAGAAACCATGCAGCTGTAGCGCTCCGGGAGCAGAGCCACCTGGCCCCCTCAGCCCTGAGCAGATGAAGGACAACCTGTTGGCCATTTGAGGGCAAGGACTCAGGATGAGCTGTTCATTGCTGATCCCTGTTCACACATCTCAGTCTAGTCAACATTACAATTTATTCTTTTTCTGGGCATCCTCATCAACAGCTAGAGGCACATGCATGTCTCCCTGTCAGTGTCCTGTGTCAGGGCCAGCTTTACCAGGCACACACTTCCACTGGTTTCCATCACAGGGTATGGGAAAATAAAGCAGATGGAGTCTTGACCTTTCTGTGGCATAGTTGACACCAGAGTAGCAGGAGCTGGGCTGAGGACTAAGCACAGGATTCTCTTCAGTGCCTTTAATTCATGTCACTTTTGCTCACTACAGCAGCACCAATAATTGGTGTCACTTACACCAGAGGAAGAATAAGATGCACCAAAACCTAAGGGCTTTCCGAAAAATTACACTTCATTTTTCCCCACCTCTCAGACTTTCATTCTTTCAAAGCACGTACATTTTAACTAATTATATTTTTAATGTATGCAAGTGTACATTTTGGGCCTAGCTTGCTGTTGGTGACTCTCCCTGTACCACCACTAACAAATTACAATGTGTTTAATATTTGGAGAAACTTCCACATTGTTTTCCAGAGGGATCGGACTCATTTGTAGTCCCATCAACAGTTCTTGGCTGACCCTACTTAGACTTGACCCAGATGGTTCCTTGCTGAAAGAATTTCCTGTGCATTAAACCTACCATATCCCTGGCAATAGATACAATCTACACTCCCACCAACAATGGAGAAGATTTCCTTTTCCCCTACAGTCCAACCCGCATTTGTTATTGGTAGCAGCCATTCTTTCTGCAGTGAGGTGGAATCTCAGTGTTGTTTTACTTTTCATCTCTCAAATGACCAGTGATGTTGAACATTTTTTCATATGTTTATTTGCTGTTTACTTCTTCTTGTTATTGGTAGCAGCCATTCTTTCTGCAGTGAGGTGGAATCTCAGTGTTGTTTTACTTTTCATCTCTCAAATGACCAGTGATGTTGAACATTTTTTCATATGTTTATTTGCTGTTTCTACTTCTTCTGAGAAGTGTCAGATGCCCATTTTTAGATCTGGTCTTTAAGGGTCTTTAAGATCTTTAAGGGTCTTCTTTTTTGTTGTTGTTTTCTTGAGTTCTTTATATATTCTAGAGAGTAGTCATTGGTCCGAGAAACAGCTGGCAAAATTTTTTCTCACTCTTTGGGTTGTCTCTTAACTCTTTGCAAATGCTTTTTAATAATATCCAAGTTGTTGATTCTTTGTAATATTTGGGGTTTGTTCATAAAGTCTTTGCCTACACCTATCTTGAAGAGTTCTACTTATTCTCTCTTCCAGCAGATTTAGTGTTTCTGTTTTAATATTTAGATTTTTGATCCATTTTGATTTTAGTTTAGTGCATGGTGAGTATAAGGATCCAGTTTTAGTCTTTGGCATGTGGAAAGCCACTTTCCCAGCACCATGTTAAGAGGCTACCTTTCTTCCAGTGAAGTGATTTTGTCAAAGATAAGGTGACGGGAGTGTGGCTGGAGTTTTTTATACGACTTCTGGTCTGTTCCGTTGATCCTCAGGTCTGTTTTTTCATTTTCTTTTGTTTTGCCAGTTCTGTGCTGTTTTTATCACAGTCAACTTTGTAGTAAAATTTCAAGTCTGGAATTGTGATACCCACTACCTTACATTTGTTGCCCAGATGGGCTTTGCTATTTTAGGTTGCTTCTGCTTCCAAATGAATGTTAGGAGTGTTTTATCTAATTCTATAAGGTAAACTACTGATCAGGATTGTATTAAATCTGTATAACAATTTTGGGAGAATGGCCATTTTCATTATATTGGTTCTTCCTACCAAAGAGCTGTGGGAAACTAAGTGAGAACCAAGGCCTGGGGGTTGACCTCTTCTTGGGCTATGTGCCAGCATGCGGGCATCAGCCAGTTCCAGGGAGAAAGTCAACTCCAGCTGAAGTCTGATGAAAGAAAATGTACATTCGGGTTCAGCCTACAAATGAGGAAAACTTGACGCCCCTGCACTGCATCCCAGATCATATGTTTACCTGCTTCTTTGTGTGAGTCTACTAGTGAGGAGTGCTGCCAGTTCAGGGCACTTTGCCCTCTAGAGGTAGGAGTTCCCTGGGCCCCTTTTTAAAATTATCTTTGTGTCTTTAATTCTCATTCGTCCCCTCAAGTAGGACAAACTTGTAGTCTGGCCCCTACAAAGAGAAAGGGATATATTTTGAGTTTCTGAGATTCTCTTTGATCTCCTTTCTCAGAGTACTGTAGTTTTCAGTGTAAAGGTCTTTCACTTCCTTTGTAAAAATCAGTCCTTACATTGATTCCTAAATATTTCACTTTTTAGGATGCTATTGCGAAAGGTGTTATTTCCCTAGTTTTTCTCTCAGTGAGTTGTTATTTATGTACAGGAATGCTATTGACTTTTCACTGTTGACTGTATCCAGCCCTTGACAAAATGCAGCATCCATTCATAAGAAACAACCTGAAGAAAATAGGTATAGAAGGACCCTATCTCAATGTAATAAAAGCCGTTTCTGACAAACCTACCCCCATATCACATTAAATGGGGAAAAATTAAAAGCTTTTTCTCTAAAAATAGGAACAAGACAAGGATGTCCACAATCACCAGTTCAATATAGTTCTGAAAACATTACCCAGAAAACCAAGCATAAGAAAGTAACGAAATCCTTATAAAAACAAAGAAGTAAAAACATCATTATTTGTAAATGACAATCTTTTGTGTACAAGTACCCCCCCAATTCCTTGAAAGATTGCTAGAACTAACAATCAAATTCAGCAATTAGCAGGATACGAAGTCAACTCAGAAAAATTAATAGCATTCCTGTACACCAATAAAGAACCTACTGAAAAAGAAATTAGATAAACAATACCATTCACATTAGCATCAAGAAAATGTGCTTAGGAATTAACCTAAGCAAGGAAGTGAAAGACCTCTATAATGAGAACCTTAATATCCTGAGCAAGGAGATTGAAGAAAACATCTGAAAATGGAGGATATCCCCTATTTCTGGATAGGCAAAACCATCCTACCATTTGTATGGAACCAGAAGAGACCCAGAATAGGAAAGGCAATCCCAGGCAACAAGAGTAATCACAAGGCATCACAGTCCCAGATTTCAAGTTAAACCACAAAACTACAGTGGTAGAAGCAGCATGGTACTGGCACCAAGAACAGACATATGTATGATTCAGTGCAATAGAAGAGAGAACGTTGAAACAACCGGAGGTGCATTAAATTATCTGGTCTTTGACAAAAGGGCCAAAAAATGTGTGCTGGAGAAAAGACAGCCTCTTTAACAAATGGTTCTGGGAAAACTGGCTCTCCACATGCAGAATACTGAATGTAAACCGATATCACTCACCATGTACTAAACTAAGGTAAAACTGTGTCAAATATCTACATGTTAACAAAGAAAGAGTAATCTGCTGGAAGATAAGACAGGTAAAAGTCTGGAAGATATTGTCATAGGTAAAGGATTCTGGAACAAAACCTACATTGTGAAAGAAACACTATCAAGCATCGACAAATGGGGTCATGTCAAATTAAAGTCTTCATCACAGGAAAGAAAACAGTGTGAATAAACAATCAACAGAATAAAGGAAACCCTACAGAATGGGAAAACGTTTTTCCAACTTATTCCTTGGACAGAGGACTAATACCTAAAATTTGTAAAGAACTCAAAAAATAGGCTCCCCAAAATAAAAGACCCAATGAAAAAATGGGCAACTAAAATTAATACAGACTTCTCAAAAGAAGTGCAAATGACCGATAAGTACAGAAAAAAAAAATTCAACATCTCTGGCCATTACCAAAATGCAAATTAAAACACTGAAATCCCATCTTACTCCAGAAACAATGGCTGTGATCAAGAGATCAAATAATACTGACACTGACGAGGCTCTCTTCTACTCTGCTGTAGATAGGAATGTAAAATGCTACAGCTACTATAGGAATCAGTATGAAATTTCTGGGAAAACTAAAAATAGAAATTCCATTCAACCTAGCTATCTCCCTTGAAGGCATATTCCCAAAAGATTTCAGGACATCATATTACTGAATCATTTTTCAATGCATTGATATACATTTATTTATGAATCTATTGAAGGCCATTTGAGTTGTTTCTGGTTTTAAGTGACTGTGAACACTACTGTTATTGTCATGAATATACAAGCCAGAGTTAAGTGATGTGTATGTTTAACTTGGGAGATTAGCTAACTTTCTTCTAAGGTGACTGCATTCCTTTCCATCCTCATGTGTGTGAAGTCCATCCACTCTACTTTATCTGTGGCACCTGTGCAGATGACTCATCCTGTGAAGCCATGTTCAGGAATCATCAATACAGTAGGGAAAAATCCCCAATAATACCCTTCTGATCGGTGTTGAAGGACATTCCCAGAGCTTATTCTCAAGGCAGGCCAAAAGATTAAGGGCATTTCCACAGATGTAATGTTTGAGAGATTGATAATGTTGAATTTTACCCAAGTTCTGTGATTTCGCAAAGCAGTGATGGTTACTGAAATCCCTCCCCACTCTTTGTGTTCTAGAAACAGCTTACTGCAAAAATCCATCCTCCCCTCCCTGACTTAAGACTCCCAGGTGCCATCCTTCTTTGTCAAGGACAAGGGTTGGCATGAATTATCTATACCTCATAATCAGGAGTTGATCTCCTGATTCCCACTGATAAATGAAAAGAAAACACTTACTAACCAGACTGATAATGTTGCTCTCTCCTCTCAGCCTGAGTCAGCAGGCAACTCCCCTTAGAAGCCCCCACCACAAGGTGCTGAGCTCAGTGCAGTGCTCTCCAGTGTCCTGTCATCCTAGCTCTCACAAATATTTAATTAATGTTCACCTCAGTGAGCCGTCAGAGCAAAGTTTTGTTAGGCAACTTGACCAAATTTAAATTCACTGAACTTTGACCCCTCACCCTCAGCATGAGCCAGTACCACGTGAAGAGACCGTCCTCACTACGAAGAAGCTCTACCAACTGGCTTGTTCCTCCTTGTACAACAGTTCATCTTTTCTTTCCCACCTTTCACTTCTTTGTAGATATTATCATCTGAGAATCTCCTCACTGAAATGGCTTCCCTATAGCAACCGTTCCTTTCCTCACATTTAATAGTATTTTAATTGAAAAATTCTCTTTTCCAATTACATTTAGCTCAGCAGCACAGAATCTGCCTAGTGGGGGTAGACTTAGTGTTTTTTGTAGGTACAGAATAGGAAGATATTCAGTAATTCTAGGAAAATATTAGAGAAAGCAATATGCAGAGAGGCATGTAAGTAAGGTGCTGACCATTAAAGGGTACTTGGAAAAAATGAGTAGCAGGTGATACATGAATACTTGCATAGCTAAAATTGCTTCTCATCGAATACTGGTTAATCATTGGTTTTTGGTTTTTGGTTTTGTTTTGTTTTTTGGTACGAGGATGGAACTCTGGTCTTTGTGCTTGCGAGGCAGGCAGCAGAACCACTGAGCTCAAATCCCCAGCCGGCTGGTTAATCATTGTTGAGCTGCTTTATTTGTATACTGGAGTCAAATATAACAAATCTATGAATAGGAAGAATTGAGTGCCAGGTTTCTAAATCTTGGAGAAGGAAGTTACAAATAAAAGGGGGGGTGGGTGACGAACTGGCTTACATGGATATATTGGTATGAAGTCAGGCATGTTTAGCTTAATATCAGCATGAGAATGAAATGTTGATATAACTGTGTGTGCATATATGTCTAAATATGCATGGAAATTTTCCTATATGCTGTTCATGGCCTCAGCCCATGCATGCATTGCTTATGCTATATGTTGTACTCATAGTTTGCAAGAGAATAGATTTAATACAGGACACACAATTTATAGGATCATCTTATAATATTCACCCAAAAAGTCAAATGCAGCGGAGCTCAAGAGATCCGTCTGCACAATAGAGGCCGGAAGAATCTTGCCGAGGGCCTGGGACCCACGGTGATGTCCAGGAGTCCAGATAGAGGCCTGGAGCCCACAGCAGTATCTCATGCACTATAACAATCAGCACCGGGAAGGCCCCAAGGCCAGTGGTGCAAGCTAGAAAGGCTGTAGCAGCGGGGTGGAGGATTTGCACTACCAGCCTGAGGGATCTGCATTGGAGCCAGGAAGTGATGCTCAAGGAGAAAACCAGAGCTCCCCTGAGGAGAACAGCAGTCTCCCTGGTGACAGTGAGGACCTGAGCTCTGCTGAGCAGAGAACAGCAAGTTCATTTCAGGAAAACCAGCCACGACAGGCTTCTTCAGGAAAATAAGCAGCATACAAGCGTCCCCTCCCCTTTCCCTTTTATGCCATCAGCAACAATCCTCACGTGGGTCCTCCGCACCCAGAGCCACGCAGGCTCGGTTCAGCTGGGCATCCCCCCCTCGAGCTGACCTTTAGTTAATCCACCACATTATATAAAGAGCACGTGGGACCGCTGCTAAAATACACCTGGCCATCAGCATCTGTTTTTGTTTGCCACGTGGCAACTGAGCATCACTTTTGTCCTGTTGGTTCCAAAGAGAAAATTATATGATACACTGGCCATGGGGTTCTAGGAAATCACTAGATTCAGAAGTGGGGCAGAGAATACAGACAAAATATCCAAGTCAAACAGACAAACCGCTGTACCTCTTGAAATGTATTACGTGACTTCCTCGAAGGTCTGGATTACGGATGATAACTAGAATCATCAGCGGATCAGGGACTCATCATACTGAAACAGTTGACCCCAAAGTTCAATTATTTATTCATTTGTGAAGTAATTATTAAGAATTTAGATTTAGCTCAGTGGTGCCACCGCCCACCTCACAAGTGCAAGGTCCAGAGTTCAATCCCTGGTACCAAACAAAAAACCACAGCTGGAATCTACAATAAAATGGACTTCTATTTAGATACTGGCCAAGAGCATGTAAGCAAAACTGATAAAATTACTGCTGTTATGGAATTTGCATTCTGGTTGGAGATGATAAGTGAGAAACACTTTTGTTGTGCTATTCTGTCCTGAAAAGTGCAAAGTGAAAATGTAGGCTCTAAAAAATGGCTGCAGTCAAGCCAAAAGTTTTAATTCATTTAAGATACTTAAAGTTCTATGTCTCTCAATTAAGTAAACCAACAGTGTGAGCACATAAACTTAAGACTATCACCATATCAAATGAGAAGTCTTAGAACAGAAAAGTAAATATCAGCCATGACTGTATATTTTAATAACTGAATCAAATGTGTAGATTATCCTTATTAAGTACCAGCAGCCTTCCCTTGACCCCTGGATAATCTTCTGTTCCCACATGTGTGTGCTCATATGGGTTCCTATGCAAGAACCTGTTCACGGACTGGGTTCCACCCCCATTTTACATGTATGTCAGTAGTTACATATGACACACAAACTGTGTGCAGGGAGAAGGAAAAGTCATCTCCTTAATTAGTACTTTGACAAGCAGCATCCATACACTTTACACTGCCTTTTGTATGTTCTCATTCGGGCTTCACCTTTCTGACATTATTTCCCTTTTCTAAGAAACAAACCTTTGAAGAGCGAAGGGCAGCCGTTCTGAAATTCCACACAAGTGCAGTCCTTAAAATGTCACTAAGTGCTTTAAGAAAATCAGAGAAGAATGAAACGAGGATCTTATAGACTCTACAATGTTAAATTCACATTCCTAGAAAATGCTTTGCCTTCTCCACCACCTTTTGAATGCACCCTTGACCTCCTTGTTCCTCAGGCTGTAGACCAGTGGGTTCAGCATGGGGATCTCCATGGTGTAGAACATGGACGCCATCTTGTCTGTGTCCATGGAGTGACTGGAGCTGGGCTGCAGGTACATGAAGATGAGAGTCCCGTAGAAGATGGAGACGGCAGTGAGGTGAGAGACGCAGGTGGACAGAGCCTTCTGGTGTCCTGAAGCTGAGCGCATGTTTAGGAGAGTGACAAAAATGAACGTGTAGGATACCAAAATAACAAAGAGAGCAGAGCAGATAACAAAGCTCGCTGCATATACAAGAACCATCTCGCTGACATGTCTATCAGAGCAAGAGAGAACCATGACTGCTGGGACATCGCAGAAAAACTGATGGACCACAGTGGACTCACAGAAGGAGAGACTGAAAGTGTCCCCGGTGTGGATGGAGGCATTCAGGAAGCCACCAACATAGCAGCCCAGGGTCAGGCATGCACACACCCCTGTAGTCATGGTGGAGGTGTAGTGCAGGGGTTTGCACACTGCGGTATAGCGGTCATAGGCCATGGCTGCCAAGAGAAAATTTTCCGCGGTGGCAAAGGCTGCAAACAGGAACATCTGAGCAGCACAGGCATTGTAGGAAATGACCTTCTTTCCTATCAGGAGCCCAGATACAACCGTGGGAGTGACAGCTGAGGAGTAGCAGATGTCCACCAGAGACAGGTTACCCAGGAAACAGTACATGGGAGTGTGCAGACGAGGGTCCAGCAGGATCAGCAGGAGCATCCCCAGGTTCCCAGCCATATTGATGAGGTAGATGAGAAGGAATATTACAAAGAGAGGGATTCGCAGTTCTGGGGCACTGGTTAGGCCTAGGAGGATGAACTCTGCCACTTCTGTCCTGTTTTCCATCAGTGTTATTTGGAAATCAGGAGATGCCCTGTAGCAAAGGCAGAGCATTAAATTAGAGACTATGGTGAAATTGAAATGTTTTCATGTCATAGGCATTGCTCCACTATTCCACTCATATTCATTTCAAGATTTCCCATGACCAAGACATGAGTTTAATAACAAAATTTAGTATATTATCTATAGAGACTCAGACTAAGAAGGATCTGCAGAGACCCACTTTCTAGTTTTAAAATCTTACATAATTGGGAACTGAGATTTTGAAAATTTAATAAATTCTCTAACACAATAACCACATCTTCTTTTCCCAGCCTGGTGAACTCTCAGACTTCGCTTTAACTAGCGTGCAGGAAGTTCTCCAGACGCTTTTACAGCTATATTCCCTGCTTCCTCAACAGATTTATAAAGGAGAGTGATTGCTGTTTTCTCTTAGACTGTGAAACCCAGGAAGCTGAGGAATGTATTTATGTCTACCTAAGTGTTAGCCCGCAGAGCTGTGGCCCCAGACCAGATGGTTACCGAGCTTAATGGTCTAAATTCAACCTTAAGTGAAGTAGCAGCTTACAGTCACTGACTCAGGGCCGAAGCTCAGTGTCTAGGTTTCACAGTGACTGAACAAAGAGACCTGTGCATGGCAGATGTGGGGGAAACAGGACAGCAGGGTCAGATAACCAGCAGGGTGCTCTACCAGAGGACTCAGCCCCAGGAAGAGCTGCATGTCAGATCCACATTTGTGACCTAAGACCCTCTTCAGAGGACTGTCATACTGATCACACCCACAGCAGGCTGTAAAGAGCGAACCGCACAGCTGGCTGTTTATAGAAGTGAGTCTGACCAAAACCTGCCTGCCGAGGTCAGAGTAACTCGCGCCCAAATTCTGTTCCCACAACTAAAACCTTCAGACTAGAAGGACAATGCTCTAATTGCAAACATATATTTTGTCTATTCTGTAACTAATTTGAGAATTCTTTGTCACCCTTTCTGAGCCTTGTGTACATTATTTTCCATAGAAACCACACGTTGCTTTACCCCAACTGATTGCCAATAAAAGTCAGTGCCTGGGACTGGCCAGCGCCTTTGTTGGTTGCACAGGCATTGGCCATCCTGGCCCCCACTTTCTCTCCTAGTTCTGCCTCCTAGAGTATTTATTTCCTCAGGCCTGCATCGCACACTGGCAGGTGGGTACTGGAACCTGACTGCAAGGGTCTCCGGCACTCTCCAGTGCCTAACTTAGGACCTAACTTCCCTGAACTAGACAAAAACTTGACAAAACTGACACGGTGGTGACTCCACCTCAGGGTATTCTTGGGAAGATTAAACGAAGATTATTTTCTTTAAAATAGTCAAATGCTGTTTGTGTGTGGCCACGAGCTGTCCTGGCCTGGCCTGGATGTAGTCTGAGAGAGGAGAGGCAGCAAGCAAGGCTTCCACTGCCAGGAGGGTTAGTGTTGAAACCTCACTCCTCACGTTACTTCCACCCCAGCCGAGATTCACAGAGCTTCTTTGTGCCCTTCAGGCATCTGCACTCTGTTTGTGCTCTCCCCATCTGGTTGGTGGCTCTGTTCATTTTATGGGGGCCATTCTTTTGCTAACATCTTGCTTGAAATCTACACCTCAGCTTGATTTGAAGAGTCTTGCTGAACTGTCGTAGCTGAATCGTAAATGTTGAGGGTCCAAAAGTCAGTTCCCGGGTTACCTTTAGCCCAAAGACCTGTTTTGTTGGAAACTGTGTTGAAGAGTATTTTATTTAAACCTTTTCTAATGTAGCAGCAGTACTTTTAAATCTTTTTATTTGAATTTTAGACTCTTTTGAGTGGATTCATGTTTGCCAACTGCTACTTTCTGGTTTCTCTCTCCTATCCCTTTTCCAATCCGACAAGCTCACCCGTAATGACTTCATGTTTGCCAAACCTAACACACACAACCACCTGTAGTTCCATGTTGTACATCATGCAGTAATATACGTGTGTGACTACACATTCATATGTGTCTGTATGCGCATAAAATGGGCATTGTTTTTTCTTTGTATTGTGATGGCAAATGGTTATTTGTGAAATTAGGTACTATTATCAAATTCCAATTAGAGTGAGGAAGATTTTAAATTCATTATTTAAACCCAGTTTTATCCCATTCTAAAACCCTTGCTTATAGACATATCATTGTGTGGTAGATTTACCGATAGTATTAAAGGTGAGATTATGGAACTGAGGGACACAAATCAGACCTTGCTAATTCATTTTAATGAATTCTTGCTAGTTATTTTTAATTTAAAGAAGAGTCATTTTGCTCAATTTATGTATCTTTTACCTCTTATGAGAGAAGAGCTGATAGTGAAAAATTCAAATTACCTTTCTGGTCAATGAGAGCCTCATCTATAGTGGTTTTTGTTAATATTTTTAGCAAGCAGCGTTAGGATGTTTCATAAGTACAATAAACTCTCTAGTGATGGAATTTTAGTATCTATAACAGCTCTATTTTGAGGATTTAGAAAAAATATTCAAGACCTCTATCTTTGTGCTCAAATAACTCATAGTAGTTGTTGTTACTACTTTTTTCTTGGTCTATATTTTTCCCTGAATTGTATGTTGAATATGGAAGCTTACCTTGCTCCTCGAACCAAAGTGACCATCGCTTCTGAACGGTGCACTTGAAATCAGAAGTTCTTCCATTGGCTAATACATAAATACTGTTTGAGAAGCTTTCTTGCAGATAATAGAAGGTTCAGTGGTTTCTAAGCCAGCAAAAACCTAGAGGCACAGATGCTAATGTACATTCAGGCTATGAATCTAGACATGCATTCTTTCTGTATCTTTGAACAACTTGTTTACTTCCTCTTTATTTGTCAAATACAGATTATAGAATTTTCCCTTCCGCATAATCCACAGAGTTGTGTCTGTAAATTGCAAGTGAAAGAAGGTGCACAAAAACTTGGTGACAAGTTACTTCTTTGAGTTCAGTTAGTACGGTTTTTATCTTGGATATTTTCACTAGCCATGGTGCAGATTCCTAGCGAATCTTGAGTTCAGAAGAAAGCCTATGTGTGCTGACAAACACAAACACTCAGATGAGTAAATGATGACCAGCGGTGCCCCACAAGCAGGCTAGTCTCTTTACAATAAAGTCACCTAGCTGCTCGGTGGACTTCAGAGGGGACTCGTGGGGACCGGAGGGAATGGCGGCTGCACAACTCTCTGGAGAGGTTTCCCTTGAGATTTCTCCTCGCCATGTTTCTCTAAGGAAGAAGCAATTAAGCTGTGTGTTGGACTAAGCTGAGTATTTTTAATATTCCCATATATGTTTGTTTCATTTGTTGCTATTTCTTGTCTTTTCATATTTAATTAGTGCATCGTTTACAAATACTAGCAGGTATACGTTAGGAAATGGCTCTAAACCCTAGGTCAAATGTATATTCCTGTCGCCGCTGCCATGGTCACCTGTAATTAATCTTTATGAAGCTTTTCTGTAGGTAAGTCCTTTTCTCTCTCACAGTACCCAGCAAACTCTAAACTTTTATTTTTATTCTTTTTGTTTTGCAGTATGTCCTTGACTGGAATCTTAGAATATGTAGATGTTGGTTCTAGCACCTTACACTTAGAGTACTGTTCCTGAGATCCATTCTCATTGTCACCTATATTCACAGTGGTGGCTTTCGGTATAAAGTTATGTTCTATTGTATACACTTTACATGTCGTTTTCCCTTTCCTTATTTGAGAAATATTCATGTTATTTCCACTGTTTGTTGACTACAAAAAAGCTGCCCTAATTATTTTCCCTCAGTCTTGTTTTGTTTTCTTCAGTGTTTGTGTGCGGGTATGTGTGTGAGTGTGTTTGTGTGTATGTAGAGAGAACATAGGTAATATTACGATACTCTTTCTAACTCTTCTGGGAAGCCAGTATTATATGAGAGCAAAGTTAGACAAAAATATCAAAAAATAAAAACTACAGACCAATATCTCCCTTGGATATACTAAAACATGATATTAAGTCAAATACATCCACATAGTAACATAATTATAAACTGTTATTCTATGGAATTTATTCCGGGATGTAACATTGCTTCAATGTATGAAAATCAATTAATATACAAAAGAAGAATTATCACCTCATTAATACATGATAAGCTTTTGCTAAACTTTTACATTCTTTCATGGTAAAAATACCCTGAAAGCTGGGAGTAGAAGTGAATGTCCACAACCTATAAGAACCATTTATAAAAATACACACGACATTGTATTCAAAAGTGAAAAGCTAAAAGTTTCCTACACAAGATCAGATAAAGAAAAAGTAGTATGTCACCATATCTGTTTAAAATTGTATTGAAAATTCTATCCACAGCAGTTAGGGAAGAAAAAAATTAAAAACATCTAATAAAGCCAGAAGTAAGACTATAACTGCATTCAAATATGATTTTATATATAAAAATTCTTAAAAATGAGCAAAAATCTATTCAGTAATAGTCTTACTTGGGTGATGGGATCCAAAATCCCCAGATAAAATCCAGTCGTTTCAACATACTGGTAATAAATAATCCAAAAAGAAAATTAAAATAATTTCATTCACAGCAGCATTTAAATGAATCAAATTCCTAGTCAAAAGTTTAGCCAAGGATGTGTGAGACTGTTCTTTGGCAGCTACAGTAAGTTGTAAAAAATTTTAAATGTTTAAATAAATGAAAAAGCATTCTCTGTTTATGAGTCGGGAAATGTAACATTGATTGGTGACAATACATCCCATCATGACCTGCATTGATCACCAGCCTGGCATCAAAATTCCTAAGATCTGTTTGCAGAAATGGAAAATCGAATCCAAAAATATATATTGAACTACAAAGGACTCTTACTAGTCTTTGACAAAAAGAACAAAGTAGGGTAGCTCATACTTTCTGACTTTAAAATTTATTTTGAAACCAATGCAACTATAATTATGAACAGAGTCAAATGTCCACAGAAAAAGAACCTATACTTTTGGCTGACTATTGGCAAGTACATGAAGTTCACTCAATGGGGAAAGAATGTGCTTGTTCTAGGACCAGTGTAAGTCCATGTGCAAAAAAGAATGCAGGTGAATCCCTTCCTCACACTGTGCTTGAGCCACAATGTATCTAGACCTATATATGAATCCATAAAAGCTACTAGAACAAATATGTAGGTAAAAATTTCGTGACCTTGGATTTGGCATCAGCTTCTTTGATATCACATCAACATAAAAAGATAACAGACTGCAGCTCCCTAGAGAAGGAATTTCCTGAGGATACCAGTCATGCCATCGTAAAACCACACTATTCCTGTCAGTAGTGAGACCAAGAAAATGATACGGCAAGTCGAAGTGTAACAATGCTTTATTCCCCGTGGGAAGTCTGTCCCACAGGCACCTCTTCCTGTAGCCTTTCTGAAGTCAGTTTATGAGAATGTAGAGTGCTGTCTTCTTCCCCGCCAAGTTGCACTGTTCTTTTCATCTCGTGCAGATCTCAGGCTCTCTTTCCACACGCTGGTTTCATAAGCCTGTGTTCTTTGCCTGAGTCCCCTCTCCCTGTGTCAGTCACAGTGACCCTTTCTCCCTTCCACCTCTCCTCCCCCTTCTTCCCTCACCGCAGGGAAGCCCCGTAGGGTGAAGAGCAGCCTCAGTTTGCACTCAGCCTGTGTTGTGATGGTAACACACTGGACTTTGGGTCCTTGGCCTCCAGTTGGTGTTTGACCTTCTCCTCCTCCCTTTCTGCAGTGCTGTAGGTTTAAATGCTGGATCCAGAGTCTTAAATGCTAAATCTGCTGTCAGGCTTTCTTATTCCTACAACAGTATGTATGGGGATCTTAATTCGAATGGATAGTGTGTCCACTATAAGATAGGAATACAGTCTCTCCTGTTGTTGATGAAGGCATAGGAAAAACATAACCAGAATTGGAGATTTTCATGTGCTGAGGCCCCCATCCTCAAAGGACTTCAGTGACAGGCAGCGGGGACAGATGTGACTGACCTGGAACGACGTGAAGGCAGCTCCAGCCAAGGAGTTGGGAGGAGTCTCGGGCTGAGCAGTGTGCATGGACAGTGTACCCATGAAGGTGGAGATATTTTCAGGGATGGAGGATGCTACCAGCGTGTAAAGGGTAGATTCCAGGGATGGTGTCAGTATCCTACAACACACAGGTTGACTCTCAGAACAATGAACTGCACACTCTAAAATATCCACTGTGCCCAGATTCGGAAGCCTTGATCTGAACTGGTCCAGTCTCTTCACTATCCAGGAAATTAAGCCTTAGCCATCATTTAAACAATGGGTGGGTAGGGTAGGGAAGTAACTACCTGTGCCATATGTTGCACTTAACCTAATAGCCCATGTAATTTGTGTGTGCTATGTTGGAGAGACTGATAAAGCAGCGAATATTAATAGGAGTGGCTTTGCTCGAAAGACCTGGTGGTGAGAGTCCCTTCACTGAGCAGTGGAAGGCAGATGGTGGAAAGAGAAAATGTGTCAGGAAAATGTTACCTCCCCTTCATCAGCAAGTTTGCAGGAGTCCCCGACCCATCCTCTCAGAGGCCCAGGAGAAGCAATCTGAGCATTACGTAGCTGAGGAAGGAAGGTCACTGAGATCCCAGAAGTGTGGAGAGCTCAACTCCACGGGTTTCAGGCAGGGGGATCTGGGCCTTCTTTAAGCTGAGGAACCCCAGGGAGGCCCGTGAGTGACAACCACAGGAATGTGGCAGTTGGGTTGACTGTTCATACCGCTTATTTGGAGCCAAAAGAGCACCCACTCTTTTATTGCTGGTTACAGTTTATTCTTTGTTTTTGACCACTGCTGAATGTCCAGGCCCACCCAACACGGTCTTGAGGTCAGGGCCAATGTCACAGAGGAATACAGTGCCACTGGTTCCAGTCACAGGGCATGGGGATATGATGCAAAGTGTGGCTCATCCTCTGCATGGCTTTGTTGCTCTTGTCTACGTGAGAGTAGACAGGAAAGCCAAGCTTTTCCATTTCCAAGCCCTGTTTGTAGACAATGTAGGAGACAAGACCCTGGCTCCGGTACTCAGGCAAGGTGCCTGCTACCCGTGTTTCTCCAGTCTGGTCCATTATGGACCAGGACACAGGGGTCCCCTCAGGTCCTAGTAGGCAGAAGCTCGGAAAGCTCCGTATACAGCGCTCAATGAATCTCTGGCTCCTCTCGTTGCCACCGAAATACCAAAGTTTGTTCAAAAAGGTAGCTTGCGTAATATCCAGGGATGAAAGTTTAAACATGTCTTCGTCACTAGGGGAGACAAAGAAGAAAGCAAAGTCCATGACTATAGGAATGTATTTGTCCTCACCGCTGTTACCTTGAGAGACAGTCGAAGAAACAGCAGTGGCAAATTGCAGGAACGAGTATGGGTAGGTTAGTGATGAAAGAGGAACAGAACAAAAGCCAGTGTGGCCGGAGCAAGAAGGAGAAAGATCAAAGTGGGAGACACAGGCACGGGTCTGATTTATCTCTGGCAAGAAGGGAGATAGATGGTGGATTGTGTTAATCACAGGGGAGACATGCTCTGAGCTATACCTTTAAAAAGCTTATTCTGAGTGCTCTGTAGAACACTGATTGTTGGGAGGCTAAAGTAAAAGCAAGGAGAGAAGGAGGGAGGCTCCTTCAGTGGAGAGGTTAAGTAGTACAGAGCGACATTTATCAAACTCACATAGCCTTGGGCTTGCCACCACTCGAGGATAATTTTTTTCCAGCCAGCAGTGAAGGAGCCAGTCTCTTAGCTGTCGGAAGTGCCATATAGAGGATGTTTTCTGAGTGTTTGACTTGGTAAGATTTAGTGGCTGCGAGATTTTGTATCACCTCATTCAGGCTTGACTGTGAACCTAAATGGGTTTATAAAGAGACGTGACAGTTTTAAGCACATTCTGAGGAGCAGGAAGTTAGAAAGCCTTAGTCCTGGGTGGATAGTCACTTGGAAAGGACTTGCGTAATTTTCTCTGTTTTACATAAACTAAAGCATATTCAGGGGTGAATTCACTCACAGTCCCGTTCACAGTGGCAATAGTAAGACTGGAGCTAAGTTTTCTGGGCTACATAATCATGTAGTTTTGATGATCCAAGGCAATGAAGTATGAAAATAGTAGCCAATATCTGCTGAGTCATCTTCTCAATATGGTAGATTCTTACAGGAATGACTCCAGATCTGACCACGTCTCCTGGTGTCCATTCCCTTTCCTATACTAAGTCTGGCTTTGACTATGTGATTTGCATCACCAATGGTAAAAGCAAATTTAATGCAAGAAGAAGGTTAACAGTGCTCGTACCTTAGGGCTTTCTCCTTCCCTTTGTTCCTAGTACTAACGTCACAAAATAGTCCCAGGCTCGCTTACTGGTGACATACACTCCTGTGAGGCGGTCACCACAGCCAGCAGCCACCGTTCACTGACACCAGATCCATCCTTCGGGTCTGTGAGTGAGGCCATGTGGAAAGAGCCAGCACAGAGCTCTCGAATCAGCGGACCCACCCTGGGAAGAGGAGCCCTAGTAGGTGATGCACTTAATTATGAGTTTGGTATGCAGCAAAAGCTAATGGATACATCCAGGATTTGTACACAGCTCTTCTTATTCAAAATCAATCTTTTCAGTGCCCTGTGACCATTACTGTACTTGTGTGTGAAGGTAAAACACTTTCTAGGAACACACAGGAAGGAGGGGCAGATGCCATCCTCAGGAGTCTGAGTCTAGGACGGCATGCTTGTGACCAGGCTGTCACCCTTGGTGACCTACAAGGAGCTTTGTGACACAGTGAACTGCATTCATATTCCAGGAAGGGACCAGGGCAAAGCTCTGCTCCAAGGATTCTGCACAGAGCTGCAAAGTAACCCTGAAGTTCTTTGCAATAGTTAATGATTTTTTCCTCCTTTGCAGGTGCAGATGTAAAATGAAGGCAACAGGCTGAGGATTTGTACTTTGGAGGACGGAAGCTAAGTCACCTGCGATTCATCAGGACAGAAATGTGAGTCCACATTCATCCCATTCTTTTACTTACTTTGAATTTGGAAATGTTGTTTCCAGTTGATGACTTCTGAAGAACCAAGGAATTCCTGAGCATTTTGGGGGTCCTTGGTGTATACTTGGTAAGTGTTGGTATAGTGATCGAGGTCATCTGTCATATCCTGTTATTGTTGGAAAAGGGAGATAAAACATCCATTATAGACTGTGACTGTGATGATACTTCCATCATCCTGCACTATTTGTAAGTAATGAAATACTGCTGTTTTCACTGCTGCAATCTAATTACTTCTGAATCATTTAAATTGCAAGGTCACGATCAGAGATGCAGATAATCGTTTAATAATGGAAAACTCCAGAACAATACCATCCTCTACCCATGTACTGCATTAACTTTTCAAATCCAAGATGCAACTATTTATCAGTATTCTGTATCTCAGTCATTCTCAGCGTAAGGAAGATAAAGCAACTGATGAAGGAGAGCTTCTGTTGCAAGAATAAATTTGACTACAACTCTAATACTTGCAGAACCCAAGCTACTTGCAGAACACAAGCTAAAAAGCATGGCAGTTTTAGACCTGGTGAAGATAACTGTAGGTCTACTCTCACCTTGCACATAATAAAACCAAACAAGATATGAAAACCAATAAGAAATGCTCTTTAAACATACTGTGGTCGACCAAATTATTACTTAAAAAAAACAAAACATATTCAGAAAGACTCCTTCAGATAATTAAATAACAGATAAAACTATTTGAAAAAGAGGCAGAGAAAAATATTACCACAAAGGGTAGAATTAGAATTAGTTGGAAAATATTGTGCAAAACTACACTCACAAGTCAGGAAAGACACTAGAGACATTTTTTATTGTTTAAGATCAGGTATAAAAGATCAAGTAATTTGATTTCAGTTCCATTTATATTATTAGTTTGCATTTCTTCATTTTATATATCATTTAATTTAGCGATTTTTAAAAATACTTTGCCTTATATTAAAATATAATTATTTGTATTTTTAGGTTCTATTTACTTTCATCTTATATCTTATTTTTAAATTCTGATTTTTAAAATCAGATTAAATTGTATATAGTTTTTATATTCAACGTGTTTTGAAGTAGAAGTCACACACTGCTTAACAGTGGGGATGTGTTCTGAGAAACATGTTTTTAGGTGGTTTTGTGGTTGTACAGACATCACAGATTGTGTTTCCAGAAACTAAAATGGAGACAGTTACTGTGTGACAAGATCTCATGTCCTCTCTGCCGTCCCTTATGACTGGAGAGTGATGACACAGCGTGTGACTGTGTACTCATTGTGGAATGAATGAACCTAGCTGACTAACGTGCATTTTCTCATGGTTACAATTTGTAGCAAGAACTCTTTATTCTCTCTGCATCTTTCAAGAAGAAAAGTCACTCACTGTAGTCACCATTCTGTGCCATAGCTCTCTTGAACTTACTCCTCGTTCCTAACTTATATCTTTTGGCCAGCACTTCCTCAGTAACCACCCCAGCCACTGACAACCACCATTTGACTCCCCGCTTCAGTGAGATCAGGTGCTTTCGATCTCACATGTGAGTGAGGCCTAGTGATTTATGTCTTTTGGCGGCTGGCTTCTTTCACTTAACACAATATCCTCCGTGTTCATTCATATTGTCACAAATGGCGAGATGCTCTTATTTGTATGTCTAAACAGTATTCCACTTTTTACAAATACCATATTTTACAACTCTATTCATCCACTGGTGATCACTTGGGTTGATCCTCTATCTTGGCTGTTGTGACAGAGATTGTACTAAATCAAATAATCACTCAGAGGTTCTTGGCAAGCTGTCTGGTCTGGTCGAAAGCCCAGGGTTGCTTCAGCCCTCATGGTGCTGGAGCACACTTTAGCCCAGGGCAGCCACGTTTAGTGAGCCCAGTACCCAGGGTGCCAGTGTGAGTCAGGGACGGAGCCCACCATTACACCTGAAGCATAGGTTTCAGAGATGCTGCTGGTCCCAGGGCAGATGGAAGTTCATCACGTAGGTGCTCACCTGAATTGGGAGCTATGGAATTCTACCCAAAGCTACTGTGTGTGTGTGTGTGTGTGTGTGTGTGTGTGTGTGTGTGTGTGTGTGTGTGTGTGTGGTGGGCTCAGTACTGGGGTCCAAAGCACAACTCTCTTTTTACCTTTCTTTGTTTTGCCCAAGTAGACAAAGCTATGTTACATCGAGCTGAGGGTGGAGTGTCCTTCGCTCCATTTTCAATGTGGTCTTTTCTTACTATTGTGCCGCAGTCAGGTCCTGTGATTTGTCACCCGGTTTCCTAAGCTCACCTGGCATTCTCATGCCTGGTTATTTAATTGTTCAAAGTGATGCTTCTATGGGGAAGGTGTAGCTGGGCAATGTCTTCCTCCCTAATGTTCCATTTCTTACCTTAATTTTGCTTTAAGTGTATGAATGTTTATCTCTCAAATGTATTTACTATTTAGTTTCATTAATTTCAAGTCTTTTCCTCAAGAAAATATAGAAACATAGAAACTCTGGCATTGTAAGTTGGCTCTTTATAGTCAAGTCTGTCTCATTTTCTGTGTCATGCTCTCATACATTTTTAGAATATGTGCCTTCCCTTCTTGATCTGACAAAAATTGTGTGTGTGTGTTTGCATGTGTATATATATAGAGAGAGATACATAGAGATATATAATAAAAATGAATCTTCCACAAACAAGGATCCATAGCATTATCCTGAAATCCCCAGCTCCAGCTGCCATAGTTTGATCATATTTCACTTGGACTATTTCTGCATCTTGTACATGTCCTATTCTTTCGCAGTTCACACAGGTGGCAAATTACCTGTTCATCTGACCTTACTGAGTTCAGGGACTTGCTGACCATCCCTGCAATTCCTCTCTGTGTATCTAGGTTTTCCAGCTTTGCTGGGCACACGATGGACACACAGCCAAGTGAACATAGAAGAATCCTCATTCGACACCCAGCACTCACCTGCTCCTGAGGGCGGATAACCACTGTACTGAAATCAGGCCACTTGTCCACCACGGCTTTTAGTTTGAATGGATTTCCATAGTTAATGTGAAAGACAGTCCCATAAACCTGCAAGACTCCAAGAAAGTGGGAAAGTCAGTTTAGAAGGAAAGAATGGCAGAATGCCTTGCTTAATCAGGACAAGAATCATTTCTATAAAATTGTGACATTGTATGATGGAAAAGTGCCAAATAGATAATTTAAGTCAACTAACTCAATGTACTTCTTTTCCTCTTTACCTCAAATTTAAGGGTTTACGTTTCCATCAAATGGGAAGCATAATGCACATACTAAAGTATTCAGGCAAATAAAATTAATGAGTTTAGGAGCACCATTCTTTATTATGGGATTTTTTTTCTCATTGAGTTTATTGATACATTTTAGGTATATAGTACAGTTACATTCATCATTGGGATCTTGTACCTTTACATGACCGGTCTTGGTTCTCATTTTTCCCCTTGTCCCTGCCCTCCCTTCACCCTCTCCTTCCCTCCTCATTTACCAAAACTTTATTTCCATTTTTTCATTTTCTCCTATTTTTTTCTTTTCCTTTATTACCTTTCCCCTACCCTTCGTATTATGGGATTTAATATTACCTTTTTCCAGACTTTCTTCTGTTCAGACACAATGAAAAATTTTTTTTAAATAAAATGACTGATAGTTGTTATTTTTCCTCACTGAACATATCAATTATTTCTATGTTGGCAAGCATGAAAATTCATTTTACTTACTTTCTAATGGCTGAATAGGATCCCACTCTATGGGTATTTCACTGTTCATTTAATTATTTAGCAGTCAATGACCATTTGAATGTACTTTTCACTGTATGATATAATTTCTTCTAGAATGTGTTTGGACAAAATCTTTCCTTGGGTGCCTACCAGTTTCTTAGACTAGAAGGGTAATTTCTGATTCAGAAGCCATGCACATGCTTTAAAGGTCTTCACCCATATTTCCACATTAACCCTCTAGAGAGTTAAATGAACTCCTATCATCTACCAGAGGCTATAACCTACTGCTCAAGGGAATAATCTTGGGGTCTCATAGCCTGGGTGCAGTCTCGGGTTCCCACCTCTGCCATATTGTACAGGCTGTTGGGAGAGAGAGGTGGAAGAGAGAGAGAAGAATGAGCATGAATAAGAGCAAACCTCTGGATGGTAAAAGTCCTTAAGGTTATGGAGCTGGGGGTGCAATGGTGGATACCATCATGGACCCTGTGGGAACTGCAAATGTAAAGGCTCATCAGATAGCACGGAAATATGCTGGTGACCACAGAGTGAAGAGATGTTCTGCACTTTAATAGTTTCCATCGTGAAAACAGAGTGCCTAAGGACAATATCAGCATCCTTCTCACCCCGCTGAACTACTGATGTTAGGCCGAGGAGAAAGAGAAGATGTACAATATTTCTAATTAAAGCTTATTAAAATGAACTCAACTAAGTTCTAATTAAACTATTTTTTCTACTGAACTCAGAACATAGTGAGAAAATATAAGGAAGCAACTACTATAATTTTAATCAGTTGTAGTTGATAACTTTAATAAAATATATTTAATATCTAATACTTACAAGAATGGAGATATTTTCTCAACTGGGTCTCAAGTAAGTGTTGCACAACTGTGAACCCTAGATTATAACTCCATTAAAAATCCCCAGCGCACAAATATTCTACATTACTGCTAGGGCAAAATGCACATCTTTAGTTTACAACCAAAGAGTAATGCTCTTTCCTCCCAGAAGCTGAGGCCCTCAGAGAGATTTTATCTCACTGAGTAGATGTTCTAAGAAAAGACCATTGAGAATCCAAGAGTTTTCCCAAAATGTTTGGAATCCACCTACCACAAGAAATAAGGGGAAATGTAACTTACAAAATTCTATATCACAAAACATTGACTAGAAACTTTTAGGCTGGAGAATATTTTGAAATAGTCAATCCTATAAAATATCTCCAGTTACTGTCCATAGAGAGTCTATTTGATGTAATATCTAAGAAAAGTGTGCTATCTTTCCAGGATTTGCCTGGATCTTAAGAATTCTCAGGTGAACACAGTTATATATTATATAATATTGATTCGCATTAGTGGGGTCTACTACACGAGATTTGTTGACTTTGGTTTTAGAATAGTTAATGTGAAATCATTTTAGTAGTAATTAAAGAACACAGCCGAGTGCCTCGTTAAACTATTTCTATTGAATGAAAATAAAATCATATGATCTACAAATATAAGAATGCTATATTTTCTTCTTTGTAATAAAAAAAATTAACAAATCTGTTGGAGAGTGATGAACTTTAATGAACTCATCTTTCCTAAAATCTTACATAGGAATTATATATGGCATTTTATGGGAATCTCAAATAAATGTCTTGTAAAGCAATACAAATTTGGAAATAATTTTCCTCTAAAAAAGATACACACACACATGCACGCAAAAGGAATGCGTTTACAAAGCTGATGGAAAATACGAGTAAGGATCCAAAGTTATGGAGCTGGTCTTACACAGCTCTGGATGTAAGTATTTATGTGCATGTGTTTTATTTAATCATAAGGTTTCTAATCAAGTGTGCATGGATAAGGAAGATAGCAAAATAGCCTGATCGGGATTATGTTCAGAGGAACTGGGGAAAAAAAAAAAAAAAACTTAAGTCAAAATAGGAATGGATCTGTTAGCAACTTCAAAGAGACTCATGACAGTTAACCTCTCACCTGGCAAATGTTCTTCAGAAGTAGACAAATTAAACATTAATATGTGATCTCAGCTCTTTTTGGAAGAACTCAAGGAAGATTTCAAGGGATGTTATTCAAAGTTCCTTGAAAAACAGCCTGGAATAATTTGTTCAGTCATTGGCACTAACTTTCAGTGACCTCGGAGAGTCCTGATCCTCCTGTCCTCCTCAGTGACATGGACGGAATGGCAGAGAAATGGTGCACATTAAATGGGAGAAGATGCACGATACTGCCTGGCTGCAGGCAGGTGTGTTCCCTCCTCTTTCACAGCAGGTCTCCCTCCCTCCCCTCGCGTTTCCCTTTGTCACCTTTAAGGATGCTGGAAGGCCCTTAATCAAGGACTTCTCCAGCACCTGCAGCATCCGTGCCCCTTGCAATGGGAACATCGTGGAGGACCCCTTATCCTGGAGCGGTAATCGAGATGAGCCGGAGGAAACTCTGCAGTGCTGTCAAGTCTTTCTTCAGGGCCTCTTTGCCGAAGTCCTCACCAGCTCTGTGGAAGGACAAGACAGCTTGAAAGCATAGGCTCTGGACTCTCTGAATGTCTCAGTTACCCTTCTTACCCTCACCATTAGTTTCGCTTTATATTAACAAGCACATTTTAAAACATACAACATCCTAGGAATTTCAACTACTGTCAGTAATCCTCCTGACTTGGGTAACTTTGGAGAAGTTCCTTGTTCTCCGTGCCTTAAGGAAGATGAGATAATGTGTTATCGAATATAGAATTCTTACAAAAATTAAGTGAATACATGCCACGTGCTGAGTAGAGTACTGGTCATGTGGAAAGCATTGAATATGCTGTTTTATTAGTGCCACTACTATTAGTACTCTCCTCCTTTTCTTTCTCCCCACTGGAGTTACTGTGCTGAATATCGCATGATGTTTTATGCTTTTACTTCACTGTAGCACATTTAACATGATTTAAGTATAAACAATCTTTTTGAAAATTATCACTACCAAGTCATAGTCAGTGCTGACACTCTTGTCCTGTCACCGAGCCTCACACTTTTTCTGAGACTGACTTCCTCTCTCAGCCTCACTCTTGGGCCTGCGACATTTTGTAGCATTAACAGGTGACATAAAAATAGCACATTTGCAAATTTGACTCGCTGCAGCAAATTTGGCTCTGAATGCATAATATCCCAACTACATAGAAAAGAGCCTGTGCTGTCATACAAGTGTGACATTTGGAGTCAGAAAAGTATCTTTGATAGGAGGGCATGGAGAAAGTTCTGAGAGCACTGCATTAAACCTGGCTCAAGTGAGAGACCAGGCTCCAAGCCAGAATCAGAGAACCCTGTGATTTCTAAAAGGCTGGAAGGAGAGGTTGGCTTTGGGCGGAGATAAGATAACAGGACCTGGATTTTTCTTTCCACCTGAAATACTGATAAATTTTATGTATTATAACATGCAGGACTATAATCTCTGAAAAAAGAGAAAATAGAAAAAGGTTAAAAATGTGGCTCATGGTAGAGCACTTGCCTAGCATGCACAAGGTCCTTGGTTCAATCGCCAGCACCATGAAACATAAGCAGACAATTTTTACATGAGTGTTGAGGTTGCAACAGCTTATCATTTGAAGGCGCTTCCAGATTGCAGCTCAGGGAACCTGACAGGGCGGTCTCTCGCTGACCTGAGCACACAGGAGCTGCGGTTTGGGGAGGTCAAAGTGCAGCTTGTGTGAGAGAAAGACACATAAAATGAAACAAAACAGAATCAATTAAAATATGTTTAAAAGAGCAAGATGGATCTTATAGAAGTGCAAAATGGACCTGAAGTGGCTAAGAGTGGATTAAACAACAAAGAAGAAAAGATCAATTGAGACTATCCACAGTGACACACAGATGGCGAAAATCAGTAATCTTCGTTACTGTTAAGGTGACGTTTCTCTCAGCATCGATCCAGTCAGTCACGAGGCACTCTAGGTCTTATCTATATAAAGTACAATACAGTTATAAAATTCACAAAGCTGTGAAGCTTACTAGAACCTTATGGTACTCAAGAGAGTGATGTAAGGACAAGCAAGTAGAACATTAGAACAGAATAGAAGCCAGAGAAGGTTGACTATTTTTAGTCAACTCACCTTCGACAAAGGTGTCTAGGCAATTCAGTGGTGGATAAAATCATAGTCTTTTCAACAAATGGTGCTGGTTTTTATTAAACAGTCAAGATGACCTACTGAAAGACTCAACTAGTTGTAAATTTCTAACTGTAGCTGTCAGGAGAAAGTCATTGCTTACTGTGTGTATTTGCCTTTTTTCTGTTCATTTATCTAAAGGACCCCACTGCTTCACTTAATGAATCTGAGAAAGTAATAAATCAGACCTTAAAATATCATATTCTCACAGAAAAGCAGCATCAGGCAAAGCCACTTTTTGGCCATAATGGAGAAATACAAAAAGTAATTAAAAACCAAAACCATTCCATAATTATGTTTTGGTACAGACAAAAGCAAGAAGAAAGTCTAATCTGCAAAAAGGGCCAAGCTTCCCTCTCCCCAGCCAACACATAATTGTCATTTGCTTCACTCTGCTCCTCTCCTGCTCCACTAACAAAAGCAGTCATTAGGATTTGTCCTGCTTTCTGGCAGGATCCAAGCCAGGGCAAAACCGTGTTTCCCTGAATTCTTCCCAAAGTCGTCTTCTGAGGACCCTCTTACAACCTTGCTCTGAATGTGCCACATCTCCCCCCGGAGTGCTGTTTCTCTAACTGTGGCACCTAATGCTCCCAGTTTTGTCAGATTACAGGGATATTCCAGTTGGCTTTGGACTAGAGGTTTCCACCAAACCCAGATAATGATCTCCAAAGCACTGGTTCCCACTTGCTTGCTCTGTGTTACCTTTGACTTCCCAGCTCTCAAGCTCCTCTTCAAGAGCACACCCCACGGAGCATGGGTTACATGAGGGTGTTGTGTGTGAGTGAGTTTTATGTTAAATCCAGGAGATGTCATGTTAGTTGGATTTCTTGAACTGTACAGTTTGGAACTATCCTCCAAGAATGTACACATGAACAGCTAAGCACTGTGCCCAGTCAATAGAGCAGTGAGATTGCCCAGAGACCCTCACACTCTCACTAGAGCCAGCAACACTGGGCAGTGGGTAGCATACTAGTGTGTGAACCTCAGAGTATTTGACCCTGCTATTCTAGAATTGGAAAAAAATCCAGAAAAAAGTCTAGAAGAAAAAGAAAAAAATAGACGTGTATAAAGCCACAAACAAGTGTTAAATCCCAATGCCTCGAAACAGGGAGCAGTAAGATAAAATATAATCTAGCAGGGTGATGCAACTCTAACGGTTTAACAGAATACACATAGGCATAATATATAATACATGTAAACACATGAGAGATGTTACAATAAAATTAGAAAACACAGGGCATGAAAGAGTGCGTGTGTAACTATAGAGCATAGGCACCATTCTAAATAGACCATAGGCAATAGACTGTGGTAGGAGCATATGCAGGTAAAGTATTTCAAGTAGAATATGTTTGCTATTTGATAGTAATGAACAGTCTGGCCTGTATTATTGTTACTTCCTTCCCGGCTTTAAGTCGAACCACCTTCTTTCCAATCATGCAAGAAAAAGACTGCCTACCTAATAATGCAACCGGAAGGATAAAACACAGTCATGTCTGACTTGTCCTCCATTCATCCACCTGACTCCAGAAAGGCACCAAAATCTCTCCTTGTACATTTTCTAGTTGAGAGAAAAGACTTCTAAGAATTTTTCATTTCACTTGAAAAACTTTCCTGTGCACAGTAGGTGCCAGATACATTTTTTGTGTTTTTTAATTTAGAAAATGTTTTTTGTTATGATTATTAACTCATATTAATTTAACAAAACAACAGGCTTCACTGTGATGTTTTTGTTCCTGCCTTTGCTGTGCTTTGATCAAGTCCATTCTTGTTTCTTGAATTGAGGTTACTCTTCTTTCTGCAGCATGTTTGTCTGAATGTTCTGTGTATAACTCAGTACGAGCATTGTGAATTGACTCACTTAAGAGGAATGGCATGCCAAAAAGCAGACGTTAAGTATTTTTTAAATAAACATTATCACATATATTTAAGATATAGCACATGATCTTAAGGGAAATATATAGATAGTGAAAAAGATAAAAATTTGAGCACATGAACATACTCCATTCTTTGTGTGTGGCTGAAGCAGCTACAATTACTCATTTAGCATGAATACCAAATATGTACAATATTACTAAGCATAGCTCAGACGTTTGGTCTTTACTTTAAGATGAGTCCTCACCTGAAAAGCTGTTTTCACACCTAGCTCCACAGACACCCTTGGACCCAACTTCTGGGAGATGAAATGCCCCTCTGAGCACTCAGCACAGCAGGATCTTGAAGACTGAGGGAGGTCTTTGTGTGTCTCCCCAGAGATTGCTGAGTTGAAGCTTGTAATGTGGACTTTGCACCAAGTTGGCAAAACTTCTAGCTTTCAATTTTTGTGTAATCCACCCCTCCCTTTCGTGGTCTCACTCTGAAGGAGTTGGCTGTGCAAAGTCAGAAGACAGGCTGATGTGTATCCTCTGAATTTCTCTTTCCCAAACAAACATCACATTACTCTTTGCCCCATAGGCACTGCGACTACTGTACAAACTAAAGCTACACAAAATCAACAAGTTGGAAAGTGGAAGTAAGGTCAGATTACACAAGAAATGCCTTATTCCTTCCCCTGCTTTCTGCATCTGCAATAAAAACAAGGCAGTAGAAGAGATGTGAATAAGATCCGATGTACAGGATTCAATCTCTGATTACTTTTCCTGCCTATGTGCAAAAGTGGATATTACTTACATGGAGTGGCAGGAACTATTAGGGGCCTTTTTTTAAAGACAAGCTATGCCTTCAGTCCTGCCCTCCCCTTGTTGTACCAGAGATTGAACTCAGTTCCTTGCACTTTTGAGGCAGGCAGCAGAACCACTGAGCTAAATCCCTGGCCCACAGTCCTGCCCATTTTGAACTAATTTATGTTTGTTGATTTCTTAAATGACCTCAAGACATTTTTCTTCTTGTCCTTGTACAAAAGCCTTGTTTTCTTTTTAATGATGCTGATCTCTTCAGCAGCCACACCTCCTTTGGCCCAATCTTTACACATGATTTTTCTTTTTCTCAATATAAAAGCAGTGAGAATACTCATGTCACAGCCTGAATTTTAGGCTGTCATGAAATTTCCTCCATTAGGTTTTTTAGTCCACATTATGGCTTGTATCTAGATGTCCCCCAAAGCCTCATGTGGTCACAAGTGAGGCTTTTCAAAGGTGGCTGGATCTAGGGTATGTGCTTCAGGGATCAAGGATGTGATCCTGTGATTGATTAATGCTGTGATGCTAGGATTAAGTCTATCCAACCTGGGTGTAAGTGCTACCTGCACTATGAGTGGGTAGCCTGGATAAGATATAAGGGACAGAAAGAGGATCACTGCTTAGTCCTTGTAGTTTGCTGCTTGCTGACTTGCTACTTTTTTGCCTTCTGCCTGCCATGAACTGTTTCTCCTGTTTGATCCCCCTTTTGCTGGCCACTCTAACTTGGAGCTGCTCAACTACAAACTGAGGCCTCTGCTAAATGTGAGGCTAATAAACCTTTTCTCCTTTAACTTTGAGTGTCAGGTATCTTGTCTCAGCAACAAGAGAAAAATAAGTAATAATCAGCAAAGCCTTGGGACACAGACAGAATGTAGACAAATTTTCTGCCAGAGTATAACATATGGCCTCTAGTCCAACTACCAATGAAGTCTTTGTTCCCAACTAAAACTTCCTGAGCCTGGCCTTTGCTGCCCACATTCCTATCAGCATTCTGGTCTTCTGAGATCTGACGAGAATCTCCCATCAAATTCTGTTTAGAGCATTTGGGGGCTTCATTAGCCCACATCTCTAAACTTTTCTCTTGCCTCACAAGAGCACATGGAGATGTGAGGTCTCCCACAGCAGTGTGAAGGGGCTTCCAGAGGCAGCCTGGAAAGACTCTGCTATGTGGGACTAGATGGAATTTCACACCACAGTTATGCCCCTCACTATTTCTGAGGTGGATGAGCCACTTCATCCTCAGATCCTGCCCGATGTCTTTTACCTTGATTATCTCAGAGTGAACAAGAGGCTCTGATGGGGTATGAAGTAAGGGGGTGTTTTCCAGGTTGTGCAGTAATGCACGTTACAGAATGAGTGAGGCTCTCCTGGTCACATTAACACACAAGGAGCTGAGCATCTGCCTGTCAAACCTCCATCATCAGTTTTCTGTCCTATTAAATTTTACAATGGAAACAAATGGGGAAAGATACACAATTTATTTTCTGTATTGAAAAATCTTTTCTCTGCTTATTTATTAAGTGCATATTTATTAAGAACCTTTTAGGTGTCAGGCACTGTTGGGCGGTTGAGGAATTGCTGGCAAGCTAAACAGAGAAGGTGCCTACTCTTATGGAGCCTTTAATACAGTGGGGAGGCTTCAGACAACAAGCATACAGTTAAATAAACAAGTAGGCTGTTTTCTGATACTGATAAGTATAACAAATAAAACAAAAATTGGATTTTACAATGAGGTTTATGAAAGGGAGAATCGTTTTAGATAAGGTACTCTAAAAGAACCATCAAAGGAAATCAAATCTGAAAGCATGGACAATGATAACAGAAAAAGAAAAATATATGAAGATAATAGGAAAGGACATCTTAGGCAGGCAGATGCAAATGCAACCACCCATAGGCACATGTGAGTGAGTGTGGGAGACTCAAGCAGCAGAAAAGGTCCAGAGCTGCTGGGAGGAGGGAGCTGGAGGGACACCGAGGTGTGTGGTCTTGTTGCGCCTGTAAAAGAAATTCAATTTCATTTAAGATACCATGAGAGGCATTGACAGCTTCCGAGCAGATAAAGCACACAATCCACGTAGTGCAGTAGAAGGATCACCCTGGAAACTAATGTCAGGTAGATGAGACGGATGCCGGAGAGAGTCTGGGGAGCCACAGATGTTAGTACACTGTACAGAGCATCTTCAGTCAGGCTCACAGGATTGGCAGCATCTCAGCTTCAGGACAATAAAGTCTGCATATCCAGCAGGCATGGCACCAGTTTCTTTACCAATTTTGGCATCATGTAGAGAATGAACCCTGTTTTCTTTACCTTGGCCAACATAGCAGCCGCCAGACTTTGTATCACCTCATCCAGGCTCACCTGTGCACCTGGAAGGGCAGAAAGTAAGGATAACCGGAACTGGCCCTATAGAAGGTGTAAGGAGAGGCCCAGTGGAGTGAAGCAGAACTTAGCATCAGTCTTGCTCTGTCAGTGCCACTCACTATGACTGTGCTCAAGTCACTCTCTGAGAATGCTTTCTCTTCTGTAAAACAGAAATAATCCCAGGAATCCTGACAATTACTACAGTCAGCGGAGAAGTGATATGTAAATTATAATAGTCAATCTTGATTTTGCACATGGTGTCTACCAAGGCATTGGTCTAATACTACTTCGTTCAATCCTTACACGGGCCCTATGTTGTAGGCTTTTATTGCCTTCACTTTTATAAATGAAGAAACAAAGTACTGGTTAAGTCACTTGCTCAGGGGCGCAAAGCAAGAATATGAGTGACAATGTACCCTTTGGAGCTACTATAGAGAGCACACTCATAGCCACAGCGGTTGTGCTGAGTGACCTGCAAGGGCCTGCAGCACAAGGAGCCATCATCATTACTCCAGAGATGGAAGGCCTAAGGTGCAGCTCCGTCCTCACACCCAGTCATCCTGAGGGGCTCTGAGTATGTCACGCTCAGTATATCATGAGAGAACCTTTTCCACAGTTCCACATATCAGCCCGCTGTCTGTAGTATCTGAATTCTACACGTTGCGTTGCTGGCAGCCAATACGAGGAATGAGCTTTAGGTGGAGACTCTGAGGTTTGCTAGAAGTAAAAGTTGCAGGGGCTCGTGCTCAGGATGGGAAGAGACCCTACCATTGAGGCTGGTGGACTCCCCACCCAGCATACATCCCAGTCTCCTTACTTTGGATTTGCAAATGTTGTTTCTAGTTGATGACATTTGATTTCCCAAGGAATTCCTGACAGCTCTTGGGGTCCTTAGAAAAGATTTGCTAGGTGTTAGTGTGGTGATCAAGATCATCTATCATCTCCTGTTTAGTTCAGCAACATGGAATAAGTCAAATCACTCATACTAAATCATTTCAATATTTATTATCTAGCTTTAATTATACTGTTATTTTCTAAAGTGAAATATGAATATTTTACATATTTTTATTATCCCTGAATCATTTACATCATGAAACCAAGTGAAAGACTATTTGCTCTAGGTTTTAAAAAATCTTGTTCAACCAAATATTTATGTTACATACAATTTAGTATCAACCAAAGGTGCACTCATTTAAGAAACTTTTCTCCATACTTTTGTGGTCTTCAGAAGAAAGAATAAAAGTAATATTGTCCAAGGCAAGCTTTGGTTGTGACACTGAATGCTATTCTGTTTCAGAGTATCAGAACAAATTAGTTTGAGCAGGACAGTACTTAAATTGATATGGCAAACCTTGTAGTTTAAGAATTTCCATTTACACATCAGAAAACTATACAAAATGAAAACACAATACCTTTAAAATATAGACTACAAACCGTCATTGTTTAAAAGACTAGTTTGAGTTTCTAGAAAAATCAAAACACAACATTTATTCAAAAATACATTCTCAAAGTTAAATAAGGGGTAGGATTATTTGAAGAACCAGAGAACAAATAACCAGACAGAGTAGAATAGCTGGAAAAGTTTTCACAGAAATACACTTACTGCTCAGCAATCATACCGTTCGCAACCAATTTTTAAAATATAATATTAAAAAATATCCTTCCACTTTTAGGTCTTAATAATGAATTCTCTTTATTTTAGTGCTGTGTGTTGTTTGTGTATTTTAATAAACAACTATATGTATACATGGCATGCCACACGATGTCATGTGGTACACACAGTTACTAAACAGGTAACCACAAGACATTGATGGCTGCTTTGAAGAAAGTTAACAGATCCTCCAGTTCACGTTGTTGCCCTACTGCCTTCTGGATGAGAAATAGCTGGACTGTTTGGATCACAGCAGTGCTCTACCTCTGCTCGTCTCCTCACCGTGACCTTCCCACTGCGGCCTCCCCTCTGCGGCATGCACAGGGGCCCGAGCGATGTGGAGTGACTCCACAGATGTTCATTGCTGTTGAAAAAGGATCGTGGTCTCTGCTCTTCATAACCAAGACACGTGTTTGTTAAAATACTGTTCCAGAATGTTGGCCATAATGTACAGCCATTTTCATAATAGAAGTAATTCATTGTTTAAAAAAAACAGGTGGAACTTAAAATTTAGCAGCAAATTCAGGAAAATGTTACTGCCTGTACTCTTCAGGCAATACAGCACACACAGACTTCATCTTGCGTCACTGCTACCTCGATTCCTTTAACCTGTGTCTCCCCGTCCTCCCCGACTCAGTCAGCCAGCACCTGCATACCCT